CAAGGTACCAGCTCAGTGGTCGCGAAGACAGACTCTCGTTGTGCAAGCCTAATGAGTGCCTCTGGCTAGTTTTCGAGGGACTGAAGCTTTTTTGTGGATGAGGCGTGCACAGGCCGCAGGCCTAAGCCAGCCTTGAGAGCCTTGTGGAACTACTGCAGAGCTCGAGTCATAGCGAGTCGACTCGCCACTGGCACCGTCCGGACATCCCTGCGCTCGAAGCCTACCGCAAGAAGCAGAAATTCTACCGTTGCCGCTTCTGCGTGTTACCCCAGCTTCTGTGAGTACGAATATTCGTGACATATACATATACATATACATATACATGTAAATCTACGGACACATATACGTATAGGTATACATACACGTATATACGCATACGTATATATATATATATATACAGATACACATATATACATATATACATATTATACATAGATGTATATACTTATGTTTCTATATATATATATATATAGATAGATAGATAGGTAGATAGACAGATAGTCGCCCGCATGACTGAAAGTAGAACCAAGTGTGGCTGCTGTCGTTGCAGAACCATCCTTGGGCTCGTCGTTGTCAATCTTGCAAAGCGTGTAGTCATGCCTTGAACACCTGTGAATGCATGGCATGCGAAGCTTTGTCGGCCACGGCCGGTACGCTGAGCCCTTCGCCCCCAGTAGCTGCAGGCATCTTTCAGCAGATCCGCGACTGTGATGGATCCGTCAATTCGATATGTGACCTGGGGCGAATTCCACTATGAACACATCTTCTTCGTTGGTAGTGTCACAACTTGTGCTCAAGATTGGCACAGCAGGGCAATACACTCGCAAAGGCATGGGGGGCATATCCGCCTTGTAGTCGTCGTCCTTCTTGTCGCCAGACAAGTTCACATAGCCTAGTACGGAGTGTTTTCGGGTGCTGCTATGACTGCGCTAACGGAGCCAGAGCATCAAGATGCTTGATTCGTCGGAACACTGGGAGGGTCAAGACATGTGATGAGCGAGAACGTGCAGTGTAGAATCCGGATGAGCTGGTGCCATGAACAATCACAGAACAGTGGTCAGCGGCCCGGAAGGAAGGCTGCTCTTTCACTAAAGCCGCTTCTGCCCTTGAGCCCGGGCTGACGAGAACGGTGTCGTGGAGGTTCTGCTTGTTCGGATCCTCGAAAGATCCGCGGACACCCGCCGTCAGGGAAGTGGGCCAAGGGCCAGCCTCGCCCACGTTCTCTTTGAAGTCTGCGGCGCCTGAGAAGCGGCCAGGAATGGACCAATGGACAAGCGCCGCCGGGACCTCCGAAACGACTCCAAAAAAAACGCACCTTGATCAACTCCATCCGGCTCTTCTTGTGAGGGCGCCATAGCTGGAATTCGATCCTCTCTTGCAACATCGGAATACAAGCATAAGGGTCTTTTGACACCGCTTGCAGGTCCTGGAGGAAGCTGTGGACTTGCTCCGACATGAAGTGGCTCTCCGCCTCGGCCTGGACAAGAACAGAAGTGATCGCCCGCACTCCACGGATCTGATGGCGTCTGTCGCTTCTCCCCTTGAGGCCCCGCACTTTCTTCTGTGCATCGCCATACTGCGAAGTCTTCTGGGCCCTTACAGCAACAGGGAGCTGCTGTGGTTCTTGAACCCTGCAGATGCCCAGAGGCCATGAAACAGAGCTCTGAGAGCGACACTTTTTCTGTGTGGACTTGTGCTCCTCCTGCCACCATTAGCGGGGATCCCCCAAGAAAATCCCAGATAGCCTAAGTCGGTAGTCTCACCCCGAAGTTCAGGCCAGCCTTGATAATGCTCAGCTCTGTATTTCGTTGCTTGAGCTCCTCCTTGGCGGGCCGTCTGCTTCTCTAATCGAAAACCGAAGAGTTTATCCAAGCTGTTTGAATCTCTCCCGGTGCTTTTGGGGTAGCTTGAGTTTGCTGCAGTGTTTACAGTTACTCTTAGCTGCTGCCAATGTACAGAGCCTGGCAGCCTCTGAGGCGCAAACATCGAAGGCAATTTTGCGCTGCTTGAGACGTTCTAGCTGCTCACGTTTCCGAGCGATGTCTGACCTGCGCAGGATGCAACCGGACTGATTTTGATCCGACCAGGCTATCCGCAGCTGCTGCAGCGCTGAGCTGCCGGCTGCAACTGCTTGATCTGATTTCTCTCTTCAGCGAGATTTCCCTGTCACATCGGAAGGGCGATATGGAAAAATGTACAGCAACAGCGTGAAGACAGCTGCCAGGTGCGTATCCTGAAAAGGCAATTCCGACTGCCAACTGCGTGTACGGTTCTGTTCACGCCTCGCCCTCGTCTGCCATTGCCTCCAAGCGCATGAACATGTTGTGCTGAGTGGCGGAACGAGCCCACCGACGCCAAGTCCCGAGCGCGCCACCAGCTTTGCACGCCAAGGGAGCACACGCTGAATTAGGTGAGAGCATGCATCATCTTAGGCTGAGCTGCATGTCGTAGGTCACACTGATTGGTCCCATGCACAGCACTTACGGTAGGCTATTCGGTAGGCTATTCACAGGACATGCGCAGGCAATGAGTCAGCTTGATCCTTGGCTTTTCGTGGAAGCCGGGGTTCTTCCCCTCTTCCTCTTCATGCGATGAGCTTGGGCCAGACGATCCGGGCAAGAAGCCTGCACAAAAAGACCGAATAAGAGATGAGTGTTTAAACCGAAGGGGACAGGGCTCTTCAGACCTTAGAATCGAGAAGCACGCCATGCTTCGCACCCAAGCCGGGGCACCTGGAGATCGTGGCACCTGAGCTACAGGGCGTGCTGCGGACCGGAAGTCCGGCTGCAAGCTTCTACTGCTAACTGTAACGAAGCAGACAAGGACGATCGGGGAGGGCAAACGGATGGATGACGAAGAACATCATGAGTTGAAATTTCTCCATGGCAATGCTGACTCGTGAGCAGAACGCACACTGCAAGGCAGCTACGCTGTCCTGACAGGACTGAGTTGGAAGGCTCGGCACCAAACGATCTTCCTCCGTCACACACACACACACACATGGCCGATAGGAGTTTCATTTCGGTGCTTCTGTGGTACTGGAACATGCATTTCTGCAATGGGTTTTGGAAGCAGATCGCTGAACCATGGCTGTCGACATGCAATTTGCAATTCCACAGGGTTCCCTGAGAGGTCGGCATCATCATCAATTGGTCACGACACAGATACACTTACATATCAGTATTGTGGTGGAATCTCTGCCGGCACTCTTGGAAACAAAGTGCACCGAGACTTGCCACGAGACGTCTCGCAGCCCAGTGAGTCCAAGCTGTAAGATGCCCCCGTATGTTCTCAATCCGAGATCTACGATCGGCATAGACACAATATGGCAACACAAGGCTGTCGCTCCCGGAGATCCGAGCCAGGAAAACGTGGCATCTTGAATGCCCCTTCTGTGCGCGGACATGGCCGGCGCTTCAGCCGCTGCTGGTAGCCGCAGCCTCAGTCATGTCCTATTGCAGTATGCTGCCGATGCACGACGGATGCACTCAGGTGGCAACGCTGCGAAACACGAGGACCATCAGCCGGCATAATGCACAAAGCCGGAGGACTGGGCGGCAGAAGCGGAGGGGTTAAAGGGGCGTCCGGTGAGACTCAACGAGCCATGAGGGCCCCACCGACGTGCAAACGCAGTGCTTCCGAATATTTCTTTTCGTCGGGCTGGCACTGCTGCCTGTGCCACTGAGAAAAAGTCAGAGAGGAGCACCTTCATAAAGGTCCGACCCCTACACTTTACACGCCTTAACCATAGTTTGCCAGCCGTCGAATACTAAACCAGGCCCAGCACAGGCCCACGTGTGACATTGATATTTCTCACAAGCTGACAGTTGCCATCCCGAACCACACTTCCTGCCAGCCTGCCTTTGTCGGCTTCTGTAACATGCCGCTGTTCCGCTGCAGCCAACCTGATAGATTTCGACTGCAAACCATGCCTGTGGCTCCGATTCGGGTTTGTGAGCCCCACAATAAAAGACTAAGCCCTCCCGAAGTGATGAACACAATCACGTTCCCTCATGAGCGCCTCGGCAGGGATGGATTGGGACCGAGCAAGATACGTGTCATCTCAGGCACCTTTGCCAGGTTTGGGGCTTTGGGGCGTAAGTGCACATGTAGAAAAAAATGATTGAAACCCTGTCGGATTCATGAAGGATCCTCCAAGGATTGGAGAAAGGTCCCACCTCGATCCCACGCTTTCGCTTCTCATCCGCACGCCGAGAAGCGATCCTGCAAAACCCGTGTCGAGACTCGAGGTTGCTAAGTTTGCAGTACAGCAGAAAACAACTCCGTTTCCGTTTCCGCCTCGTCTCGACTCGGCAGGCCGCCAAGCGCTTGATGGTTGGCCGCTGCTGCAACTCATCCTGGGAGCATGGAAAAAGCAAAAAACCGTGAGCATCGATGATCGATGAGCATTGCATCTCGGCTCCGAGCTGCAATCGGCATCCAGATCTTGGCTGGGATCGACGTCGGGTTTAGGTTTTCAGGCCCCGGTCAAGCGGAGATTGCGGAGCTGAAACACGCGAGAGCCCCTGGGTAAGCTCAGGACCTTGGGATCGATGGACGTCGGCGGCTCCACCTGGGAGCTGAAGCGATCGGGAAAGGTGCTGCGTCGAGTGGCAGCTGAGGGCAAGGCGATGGGATCCTTGTCATCATTGGGGTTCCAGTTTACCACTGGGCTTCCCCAGCCTTGGGCAAACGTGACGCCACTTCGCAGCTTGTCGCTTTGCGCACAGTGGCTAGTTTTACATGGTTTTATCTTCAGCATCCGTTTCTTGAAAGATTGCCGAGGAAGAGCGCGGAGACGGCTTGGGGTCGTGGTTTTTTCAGAGTCTCAGGTCGCAGCTGGCTATCACGCAGCGGCTCTTGTCTGGGAAGTCCAGAGGCACACGTATCTGACAAACAAAGCATTGCATCTGCAGAAGACTGGCAAATTCACTGCACTGACCTCCGCCGTTTAATGTGATGAGAGAGAGGGTCGCTGACGGCACGGAGCGTGTTTTCGCTCAGACTTTGTGTTGCTCCAGACTGCAGACTTGACAAACTCGAGTCAGCTCATCCAACTCTTCCGCTGTCACTGGTCCTGGGCACGTCAAGGCGCTGCACAAGCCAAGCCAATCCCTTCGCCAGCCGTACTCGAAGCTCTAAATGCGACCTGGCGGCGCACTTCACCGTAGCCGAGGCCTGCACATACGGAGCTGCTCAGCGCCACGCTTCTGCACACCCCTCGCTTGAGGGCATGCAGGTGCCTTGCAGATGCAGAGGCCCAATAGCCACGCGATGAAGATGCAAAAGCCGAAGGCCTCGCAAGCATGCTGCTTTCGATTTGAAAAGCCAGAATCATGTCTCACTCGCAGAGCATGCTGCAGCTCAGGTGTCCGCAACAAAAGACTGGCCGGAAGGGCTTAGAGAGATGAAGGATGCAGAAAAGATCTTTCCAACTTGCTTCAGGTAGAGGGTGTTGGATGTCTGCTGCTCATCACCGTGCACTCACAAACACACATCGCCATGGCTGTCGCCGAAGAGGGAACGACCAGCTGACGTTGCCAGACGCCGGATCTGCAGAGCGATGAGGGATGCAGAAAAAATCTCTCCAACTTCATTCAGGTAAAGGACGTTGGATAGCTGCTGCTCATCACAGTCTGCAGTGCGTCAGATGAAGAACAATCGCCGCGCAGCTGTTGCCGGACGCCAAATCTGTATGAAGTTTCCAGGACAGACCACACATGGCGTGCCATCTATCAGACATGTACTTCGGGACTGCTCTTGCACTGTCTAATTCCGGGCACAGCATGGACAGGCGTCGCGGCTGAGCACGGACTCAACAAGTGCTTGTCACATGCTTACACTGCACAGGCTCAACAAGTGCTTCACTTGCCTACACGGCATGCTAGGATCCTCAGTCGACGCGCATGGTTTGTCTTCAGTCCAGGATGTAGCCGCATCCTCTGACATCTAATTAGTTTTTGACACATCACCGGACGTCAGAACATCAAATCAAGGACGCCCTCCTGCAAGACCTAGTTTGCATCCGCTTCACATCCACACTGTGCAGAAGACTCAGAGCGATGAGGGATGCAGAAAAGATCTCTCCAACTTCGTTCAGGTAAAGGGTGTTGGATATCTGCTGCACATCACAGTCTGCAGCATATCACATGGAGAACAATCACAGCACAGTCAACGTCACGCATCTCGACAGCTTCCATCCAAGAGAGCGCGATGCCAGAACGGATTGCATCAGCTCAGCGTGGTTGCCAGGTGCCGAGTCTGTATGAAGTTTCCAGGACAGACCACACATGGTGTGCCATCTATCAGACATGTACTTCGGGACTGCTCTTGCACTGTCTAATTCCGGGCACAGCATGGACAGGCGTCGCGGCTGAGCACGGACTCAACAAGTCCTTGTCAAATGCTTACACTGCAGGGGCTCAACAAGCGCTTCACTTGCCTACACGGCATGCTAGGATCCTCAGTCGACGCGCATGGTTTGTCTTCAGTCCAGGATGTAGCCGCATCCTCTGACATCTAATTAGTTTTTGACACATCACCGGACGTCAGAACATCAAATCAAGGACGCCCTCCTGCAAGACCTAATTTGCATCTGCTTCACATCCACAGTGTGCAGAAGACTCAGAGCGATGAGGGATGCAGAAAAGATCTCTCCAACTTCGTTCAGGTAAAGGGTGTTGGATATCTGCTGCTCATCACAGTCTGTCACGGGCCGAATGGAAAACAATCATCGCGTAGTCGACGACACGCATCGCAAAGGACGACCCAGAACAGGCTGAATCAGCCTACTTGAAGTTGCTAGGACACAAATCTGCACGCGTGACATGGAGAGCAATCACTGCTCGGTCCGCGACACACATCCCCATGGCTGTCGCCGAAGAGGGAACGACCAGCTCAGGGTGCCAGACGAACAATCTGCGTAACATCCGTCGAAGACTCAGAGCGATGAGGGATGCAGAAAAGATCTCTCCAACTTCGTTCAGGTAAAGGGTGTTGGATATCTGCTGCTCATCACAGTCTGCAGCACATCACATGGAGAATAACCGTGCACGGCACAGTCAACACCACGCAGGCCGACAGCTTCCATCTAAGAGAGCAAGCACGGCGCCAGAACGGATTGCATCAGCGCAGCGTGGTTGCCAGGTGCCGAGTCTGTATGAAGTTTCCAGGACAGACCACACATGGCGTGCCATCTATCAGACATGTACTTCGGGACTGCTCTTGCACTGTCTAATTCCGGGCACAGCATGGACAGGCGTCGCGGCTGAGCACGGACTCAACAAGTGCTTGTCACATGCTTACACTGCACGGGCTCAACAAGCGCTTCACTTGCCTACACGGCATGCTAGGATCCTCAGTCGACGCGCATGGTTTGTCTTCAGTCCAGGATGTAGCCGCATCCTCTGACATCTAATTAGTTTTTGACACATCACCGGACGTCAGAACATCAAATCAAGGACGCCCTCCTGCAAGACCTAATTTGCATCTGCTTCACATCCACAGTGTGCAGAAGACTCAGAGCGATGAGGGATGCAGAAAAGATCTCTCCAACTTCGTTCAGGTAAAGGGTGTTGGATATCTGCTGCTCATCACAGTCTGTAACGGGCCGAATGGAAAACAATCATCGCGTAGTCGACGACACGCATCGCAAAGGACGACCCAGAACAGGCTGAATCAGCCTACTTGAAGTTGCTAGGACACAAATCTGCACGCGTGACATGCAGAGCAATCACTGCTCGGTCCGCGACACACATCCCCATGGCTGTCGCCGAAGAGGGAACGACCAGCTCAGGGTGCCAGACGAACAATCTGCGTAACATCCGTCGAAGACTCAGAGCGATGAGGGATGCAGAAAAGATCTCTCCAACTTCGTTCAGGTAAAGGGTGTTGGATATCTGCTGCACATCACAGTCTGCAGCACATCACATGGAGAATAACCGTGCACGGCACAGTCAACACCACGCAGGCCGACAGCTTCCATCTAAGAGAGCGCGATGCCAGAACGGATTGCATCAGCCCAGAGTGGTTGCCAGATGCCAGATCTGTATGAAGTTTCCAGGACAGACCACTCATGGCGTGCCATCTATCAGACATGTACTTCGGGACTGCTCTTGCACTGTCTAATTCCGGGCGCAGCATGGACAGGCGTCGCGGCTGAGCACGGACTCAACAAGTGCTTGTTACATGCTTGCACTGCACGGGCTCAACAAGTGCTTCACTTGCCTACACGGCATGCTAGGATCCTCAGTCGACGCGCATGGTTTGTCTTCAGTCCAGGATGTAGCCGCATCCTCTGACATCTAATTAGTTTTTGACACATCACCGGACGTCAGAAAATCAAATCACCGATGCCCTCCTGCAAGACCTGGTTTGCATCCGCTTCACATCCACAGTGTGCAGAAGACTCAGAGCGATGAGGGATGCAGAAAAGATCTCTCCAACTTCGTTCAGGTAAAGGGTGTTGGATATCTGCTGCTCATCACAGTCTGCAGCACATCACATGGAGAACGATCACAGCACAGTCAACGTCACGCAGTTCACATCCACAGTGTGCAGAAGACTCAGAGCGATGAGGGATGCAGAAAAGATCTCTCCAACTTCGTTCAGGTAAAGGGTGTTGGATATCTGCTGCTCATCACAGTCTGCAGCACATCACATGGAGAACGATCACAGCACAGTCAACGTCACGCAGCTCGACAGCTTCCATCTAAGAGAGCACGACGCCAGAACGGATTGCATCAGCCCAGCGTTGTTGCCAGATGCCAGATCTGTATGAAGTTTCCAGGACAGACCACACATGGCGTGCCATCTATCAGACATGTACTTCGGGACTGCTCTTGCACTGTCTAATTCCGGGCACAGCATGGACAGGCGTCGCGGCTGAGCACGACTCAACAAGTGCTAGTTTTTGACACATCACCGGACGTCAGAACATCAAATCAAGGACGCCCTCCTGCAAGACCTAATTTGCATCTGCTTCACATCCACAGTGTGCAGAAGACTCAGAGCGATGAGGGATGCAGAAAAGATCTCTCCAACTTCGTTCAGGTAAAGGGTGTTGGATATCTGCTGCACATCACAGTCTGCAGCACATCACATGGAGAACAATCACAGCACAGTCAACGTCACGCATCTCGACAGCTTCCATCTAAGAGTGCACGACGCCAGAACGGATTGCATCAGCCCAGCGTGGTTGCCGGGTGCCAGATCTGTATGAAGTTTCCAGGACAGACCACACATGGCGTGCCATCTATCAGACATGTACTTCGGGACTGCTCTTGCACTGTCTAATTCCGGGCACAGCATGGACAGGCGTCGCGGCTGAGCACGGACTCAACAAGTGCTTGTCACATGCTTACACTGCACAGGCTCAACAAGTGCTTCACTTGCCTACACGGCATGCTAGGATCCTCAGTCGACGCGCATGGTTTGTCTTCAGTCCAGGATGTAGCCGCATCCTCTGACATCTAATTAGTTTTTGACACATCACCGGACGTCAGAACATCAAATCAAGGACGCCCTCCTGCAAGACCTAATTTGCATCTGCTTCACATCCACAGTGTGCAGAAGACTCAGAGCGATGAGGGATGCAGAAAAGATCTCTCCAACTTCGTTCAGGTAAAGGGTGTTGGATATCTGCTGCTCATCACAGTCTGTCACGGGCCGAATGGAAAACAATCATCGCGTAGTCGACGACACGCATCGCAAAGGACGACCCAGAACAGGCTGAATCAGCCTACTTGAAGTTGCTAGGACACAAATCTGCACGCGTGACATGCAGAGCAATCACTGCTCGGTCCGCGACACACATCCCCATGGCTGTCGCCGAAGAGGGAACGACCAGCTCAGGGTGCCAGACGAACAATCTGCGTAACATCCGTCGAAGACTCAGAGCGATGAGGGATGCAGAAAAGATCTCTCCAACTTCGTTCAGGTAAAGGGTGTTGGATATCTGCTGCTCATCACAGTCTGCAGCACATCACATGGAGAACAATCACAGCACAGTCAACGTCACGCAGCTCGACAGCTTCCATCTAAGAGAGCACGACGCCAGAACGGATTGCATCAGCCCAGCGTGGTTGCCAGATGCCAGATCTGTATGAAGTTTCCAGGACAGACCACACATGGCGTGCCATCTATCAGACACGTACTTCGGGACTGCTCTTGCACTGTCTAATTCCGGGCACAGCATGGACAGGCGTCGCGGCTGAGCACGGACTCAACAAGTGCTAGTTTTTGACACATCACCGGACGTCAGAACATCAAATCAAGGACGCCCTCCTGCAAGACCTAACTTGCATCTGCTTCACATCCACAGTGTGCAGAAGACTCAGAGCGATGAGGGATGCAGAAAAGATCTCTCCAGCTTCGTTCAGGTAAAGGGTGTTGGATATCTGCTGCTCATCACCGTCTGCAGCATATCACATGGGTGCCCACATGGAGAACGATCACAGCACAGTCAACGCCACGCAGCCCGACAGCTTCCATCTAAGAGAGCACGACGCCAGAACGGATTGCATCCGCCCAGCGTGGTTGATGCCAGATCTGTATGAAGTTTCCAGGACAGACCACACATGGCGTGCCATCTATCAGACATGTACTTCGGGACTGCTCTTGCACTGTCTAATTCCGGGCACAGCATGGACAGGCGTCGCGGCTGAGCACGGACTCAACAAGTGCTTGTCACATGCTTACACTGCACGGGCTCAACAAGTGCTTCACTTGCCTACACGGCATGCTAGGATCCTCAGTCGACGCGCATGGTTTGTCTTCAGTCCAGGATGTAGCCGCATCCTCTGACATCTAATTAGTTTTTGACACATCACCGGACGTCAGAACATCAAATCAAGGACGCCCTCCTGCAAGACCTAATTTGCATCCGCTTCACATCCACAGTGTGCAGAAGACTCAGAGCGATGAGGGATGCAGAAAAAATCTCTCCAGCTTCGTTCAGGTAAAGGGTGTTGGATATCTGCTGCTCATCACCGTCTGCAGCACATCACATGGAGAACAATCACAGCACAGTCAACTTCAAGCATCCCGCCAGCTTCTATCTAAGAGAGCACGACGCCAGAACGGATCGCATCAGCCCAGCGTGGTTGCCAGGTGCCGAGTCTGTATGAAGTTTCCAGAACAGACCACACATGGCGTGCCATCTATCAGACATGTACTTCGGGACTGCTCTTGCACTGTCTAATTCCGGGCACAGCATGGACAGGCGTCGCGGCTGAGCACGGACTCAACAAGTGCTTGTCACATGCTTACACTGCACGGGCTCAACAAGTGCTTCACTTGCCTACACGGCATGCTAGGATCCTCAGTCGACGCGCATGGTTTGTCTTCAGTCCAGGATGTAGCCGCATCCTCTGACATCTAATTAGTTTTTGAACACATCACCGGACGTCAGAACATCAAATCCAGGACGCCCTCCTGCAAGACCTGGTTTGCATCTGCTTCACATCCACAGTGTGCAGAAGACTCAGAGCGATGAGGGATGCAGAAATGATCTCTCCAACTTCGTTCAGGTAAAGGGTGTTGGATATCTGCTGCTCATCACCGTCTGCAGCACATCACATGGAGAACGATCACAGCACAGTCAACGTCACGCATCCCGACAGCTTCCATCTAAGAGTGCACGACGCCAGAACGGATTGCATCAGCCCAGCGTGGTTGCCGGGTGCCAGATCTGTATGAAGTTTCCAGGACAGACCACACATGGCGTGCCATCTATCAGACATGTACTTCGGGACTGCTCTTGCACTGTCTAATTCCGGGCACAGCATGGACAGGCGTCGCGGCTGAGCACGGACTCAACAAGTGCTTGTCACATGCTTACACTGCACGGGCTCAACAAGTGCTTCACTTGCCTACACGGCATGCTAGGATCCTCAGTCGACGCATATGGTTTGTCTTCAGTCCAGGATGTAGCCGCATCCTCTGACATCTAATTAGTTTTTGACACATCACCGGACGTCAGAACATCAAATCAAGGACGCCCTCCTGCAAGACCTATTTTGCATCTGCTTCACATCCACAGTGTGCAGAAGACTCAGAGCGATGAGGGATGCAGAAAAGATCTCTCCAGCTTCGTTCAGGTAAAGGGTGTTGGATATCTGCTGCTCATCACCGTCTGCAGCACATCACATGGAGAACGATCACAGCACAGTCAACTTCAAGCATCCCGACAGCTTCTATCTAAGAGAGCACGACCCCAGAACGGATCGCATCAGCCCAGCGTGGTTGCCAGGTGCCAGATCTGTATGAAGTTTCCAGGACAGACCACACATGGCGTGCCATCTATCAGACATGTACTTCGGGACTGCTCTTGCACTGTCTAATTCCGGGCACAGCATGGACAGGCGTCGCGGCTGAGCTCGGACTCAACAAGTGCTTGTCACATGCTTACACTGCACGGGCTCAACAAGCGCTTCACTTGCCTACACGGCATGCTAGGATCCTCAGTCGACGCGCATGGTTTGTCTTCAGTCCAGGATGTAGCCGCATCCTCTGACATCTAATTAGTTTTTGACACATCACCGGACGTCAGAACATCAAATCAAGGACGCCCTCCTGCAAGACCTAATTTGCATCTGCTTCACATCCACAGTGTGCAGAAGACTCAGAGCGATGAGGGATGCAGAAAAGATCTCTCCAGCTTCGTTCAGGTAAAGGGTGTTGGATATCTGCTGCTCATCACAGTCTGCAGCACATCACATGGAGAACAATCACAGCACAGTCAACGTCACACTTCCCGACAGCTTCCATCTAAGATGAACATGGATGTCCTGGATTTCGGCTTGATCAACCCGCGAACATCATCGAAAATCTGGAAGTGCGAGCCTGATCGATTGATCAGCCGGCGGATTTGATGATGCCTGCGCGGGAGGCAACAGTCAGTCGAGTCCTCAAACGAAATTTTCAATTATTGAGTGCTGCGACCGCAGATAAAATCGGAGAGGTCGCGCAGGCTGCCCGGCTTTACAAAGGACATATACGCACACACACACACACACACACAAGAACTCTACCATGCCTTCCTTCCCAAAGCTCGAAAACGAGCTTGGAACGATCCTTGGGCATATCAAGACTCATACCAGAGAGGTTGATGAACTTGTGAGACCCTTTGGAGAAAACTCCCAAGCCCCGAACCTAAAGCTGCACGATGGGACTCGTCTATGTGCCAGCTTCTTAGCACACCGGATGCCGAGGATCTCCAAGCTCTGGCGGCACAAGCGGTTCGACGGGCTCGCGCCAATGATGCAGAAGACTGACCTCAAGAAGGATGCTGTGAAAGGACAAGATCGACAGATCTTTCTGCCCGGGTCTTGAGGACACTCTTAAGGCGGGCTAGACCAGGGGAACTGTTCTGACGAGCAAGAACCATGGAACATGCTAGCTGCGGCCTGCCTTTATGGGCCAAACATGTTCGGTTGCTCATGAGACATATTCCTCGTCTTGAAGGACACTGCAATCGGCACGACTGTTGCCCGTAGCAGTCGTAAAGGTGGCCTAGTAGTTGTACTCCTCGTACTGGTACCAGTACTGCTACGAGTGCTGGCACCACTACTAGTACTTAGTCCAAGTTTTCGTCGTAACAGTAGTAGTAGTAGTAGTAGTAGTAGTAGTAGTAGTAGTAGTAGTAGTAGTAGTAGTAGTAGTAGTAGTAGTAGTAGTAGTAGTAGTAGTAGTCGTGGTAGTAGTAGTAGTAGTAGTAGAAAAAGTAGTAGTAGTAGTAGTAGTAGTAGTAGTAGTATAGTAGTAGTAGTAGTAGTAGCAGCAGGTGTAGTACTAGTAGTCGTCGTCGTCGTCGTCGTAGTAGTAGTAGTAGTGGTAGCAGTACTAGCAGTAGCAGCAGCAGTAGTAGCAGTAGCAGTAGCAGTAGCAGCAGCAGTAGCAGCAGCAGAAGCAGTAGCAGTAGCAGTAGCGGCTGCAGCAGCAGCAGCAGCAGCAGTAGTAGTGGTCGTCGTCGTCCTGGTGTTGGAGGTGGTCGTGCTCGTGGCCGTGGTCGCTGGTGCAAGCAGCTGGCTAGGCTACTGGTGCTGGTGCTGTGGTGCCGTGGTGCCGTGGTGCCGTGGTGCCGTGGTGCCGTGGTGCCGTGGTGCCGTGGTGCCGTGGTGCCGTGGTGCCGTGGTGCCGTGGTGCCGTGGTGCCGTGGTGCCGTGGTGCCGTGGTACCGTGGTGCCGTGGTGCCGTGGTGCCGTGGTGCCGTGGTACCGTGGTGCCGTGGTGCGGTGGTGCCGTGGTGCCGTGGTGCCGTGGTGCCGTGGTGCCGTGGTGCCGTGGTGCCGTGGTGCCGTGGTGCCGTGGTGCCGTGGTGCTGGTGCCGTGGTGCCGTGGTGCCGTGGTGCCGTGGTGCCGTGGTGCTGTGGTGCTGTGGTGCTGTGGTGCTGTGGTGCTGTGGTGCTGTGGTGCTGTGGTGCTGCGGTGCTGCGGTGCCGCGCTGCTGCGGTGCTGCGGTGCTGTGGTGCTGTGGTGCTGTGGTGCTATGGTGCTGTGGTGCTGTGGTGCTGTGGTGCTGTGCTGCTGTGGTGCTGTGGTGCTGTGGTGCTGTGGTGCTGTGGTGCTGTGGTGCTGTGGTGCTGTGGTGCTGTGGTGTTGTGGTGCTGTGATGCTGTGGTGCTGTGGTTCTGTGGTGCTGTGGTGCTGGTGCTGCTGGTGCTGCTGGTGCTGCTGGTGCTGCTGGTGCTGCTGGTGGTGTTTTGACCACTCTGACTACTATGTCTGTTCTTTCTATTGCTTGTTGTTGTTGCTGCTGTTGTTGATGTTGCTGTTGGTGGTGGTGGTGCTGGTGTTGGTGCTGTTGTTGCTGATGTTATTGTAATTGTTGGTCTTGTTGAAACCCTACGAAAATCCTTCATCCCATTGAAATCAATCGAAATCCCGGGAAAATTTTTCAAAAACCCATTGAATCCTTCAAACTCCTGCGAACATCCTGCCCAGCCCTGTATAAAAAGAGCCGCTGTTGCTGGTGCTGTTGCTTTTGCAGTTGCTGTTGCTGATGTTGTTGTCGTTGCTGTGGCTGTTGTGGTTGTTGTCGTTGTTGCCGACGTTGTCGTTGTTGTCGTTGCTGTCCTTGTTGTTTTTGTCGTTGTTGTTGTCGGGCGTGAAACAACATGACTTGGATCCTGCACTTGTCTTTTCTTAGCGTACAGACAGAAAACAGATATATTGGGTTGACGAGGATGAAGTCAGTATATGTAAATTGTTTTTGTTGTTGCTGCTGGTGCTGTTGTTGTTGTTGCTCTTGTTTTCGTCATTGTTGTTGCTATGGCTCTTGATATTGCTCGTGTTCTTGTTCTTGCTCTTGCTCTTGGTCTAGGTCTTGCTCTTGCGGTCGCCCTTGTTCTTGTTATTGGTCATGGTCTTGTGCTTGCTCCTTGCTGGTGGTGGTGGTGGTGGTGGTGGTGGTGGTGGTGGTGGTGGTGGTGGTGGTGGTGGTGGTGGTGGTGGCCACCAGCGGTGGCGCTGGCGCTGGCGGTGGTATTGGTGTTGATGTTGTTGCTGATGTTGTTTGTGAGTTGTTGTTGTTGTTGGTGGTGGTGGTGGTGCTGTCGTTTGTTGTTACTGTTTTCGTTGTTGCTGTTATTGTCGCGAACAACCGCAAAGTTTGCACGCCTTCTGGGATAGCAAGGAGCCATTGAAACTTGCTTTCAGCATGGCAGGAATAATGAAAATTAAAGTGGTATCCCGGTTGGAAGGTAGGATGATGAGAATACCACTTTCGTGGTTTGGAGGTAAAGTCTCCATGCTTTTGTGGAATGACTCCTGTCTGCCAAGCCTTGTCTCTCCTCTCAGTTTATGAAGCTTCCCATAGACAAGGTCGTGTTGAACTTTTGCTGCAAGGACCACACAAGTCCGGGTCTGCATAGCGATCATATTGGACAGAAATAATTGCGCGCCTTCGCCGGCATAGTCCAGTATTCATTCCCGGAGTTGGTCTGGATGCGGTGGTAGCGGTATCTTGGGCATGGCTCATTTGCGCCGGCAGACGAGCAATCGAACGACGAACAAGACAGTAGGCTTGCCGCTCGAGGGATTGACAGTCTCTGGCACTGCATGTGTGTGTATGGATGTACGTATGTGTCTATATGCGTAGAATATAACGCAACAGATGATACCAGATGTGATATGATGTAATAAAACATTTGTCGTGCAGTGATATACTCTACTATATTTATCAGGCTATATTGCAAGATATTACGGCTATCCGCCGAGGCCACAGGCCCAGGCGTCTTGGGGGTTACCTCAGGTACCCTCCACCTAATCCTCCTCCCTGCAGTCCAAAAGGTTTGGAGACACCCTGTTTTTGCGTTCGTTTGCCACCCCCTTGTCCGGCTTCCCTTCATTTTACCTGATTTGTCGGCCTCCCCCCCCCTCCCCCCCCCTCCCTCCCCCTCCCTCCCCCTGTGATGTAACCTGGACGTGTATCCCCTCGCCAGGCGTACAGGAACACAGGCACTCGGGTGTCTCTTTTGCTACAGGCGCACAGCTGCAGTCCACTGCACTGGAACCTTGAGCAACAGGCATGGATACATGCAAGTGATACGTGAAACAGACAGGCACCTGAATGTTACACCAGGCACAAATTTAAAACACGTTGAGCTGCATGGCCGTGGAGTCGGCATTCTACTAGCCTGTTATCGCTCTCGGTCGAATTAGCGGAGTATTGAGCTACATCTGCGACTTGAAGAGAAACTATACATTCTCTAGCCTGGAGACAGCTTCAATGAAAACAGCAGAACACGCACGAGAGCGATAACAGGCTAGTAGAATGCCGACTCCACGGCCATGCAGCTCAACGTGTTTTAAATTTGTGCCTGGTTGAAACACTGAATGTTACACATCCAGGTGCCTGTCTGTTTCACGTATCACTTGCATGTATCCATGCCTGTTGCTCAAGGTTCTAGTGCAGTGGACTACAGCTGTGCGCCTGTAGCAAAAGAGACACCTGAGTGCCTGTGTTCCTGTACGCCTAGCGAGGGGATACACGTCCAGGTTACATCTCACCCCCTCCCACCCCCTCCCCCTATCAACAACCGTGTAAAGGTTGGGGTTGAGAGGCCCCCCTAGCATGTATACAACATTGACTGCCCCCTCGCCCTGCCGCTAAAGAGCTGAGGCGGGCGGCGTAGCGTTGAAATTATGTTATGTTATGGACAATAATATAGCAGAATAATGGAGAATGGCATCATTGTAAATGCATAGTGCAGCGTTGCCGAGCCCTAGGTCTCTGGAGGTATGTATGTAAGTATCATTTTGCGTCCGACCCCCTTGATGGCGATGGCTGCGTGACCAGCGAGGATTCTACCGACCAGAGCATAGCAAAATACAAAGCACATTGCCACTATGCTATCAGCTGCGCTGACCGAGTAGAGTTGCACAGCGAAAATTATTGCAGCTTCAGATGAGTGACCTTTTGTTATTTACTGTTATTTGTCGGGTATGCTTGCGTGTTTTCCTAGTGTCACCGCGCAATCGGGGTTTGTGGGATTCTGCTCAAGGTTATGGCATCAGTATATCTCTATATCTCTCTATATATATATACACACACATATACACACCCAAATAGATACCATATGTCTACAATATGCAACCTCTCCTCCCTTCCAAGCGTCGGCTCCGTCAGCTTCTGGAATTTGGCATCCTCGGGAGTCCAATGGCCCTTCACCTGAAAAGACGCAGAGCCCAGAAATCACTAGCGGGTACGGAGTCCATGCATGGGCCAAAAAGCGGCTAAGCTGATTCGCCAAGGCTGGGACCGTGACCTCGTAGCGCTTGGAAAAGGTGCCACTCTGGGTGAGGGCAGAGTTCAGTTTCCTGCGTGGCGTAGCAGAACGCTCCGTGTGTCGCAACGGCACACGTGGTTGCGAATGCATGCTGAGTTTCACGGTACAAATGCAGACTGGGTCCTATCGTCTGTGAGGACCTGAGACGAATGCCACATGCGAACACCAGCCGAACAGTGGATGTGCTTTTTTGGCAACTCGTAGCCCCAATCGTCCTTGCCCTGAGGCCCGAACTATGAGCCCAGACGTGTCTTTGTCCTTGGGAACCAGAAACTGAATGACTGAACGACACTGAAACTGAACTTCGCGCTCCCCTTGTTGTATTTGGCACCCCACTACCTATCGCTAGTCTCTAGACCTTCTGTAAGGGTCCTGGCGCCGACCTCAGACCTCCACCTGTTCTCTTTGCTTCTTTCGCCAGGGCTGACGGACACAGTGACCCCTCCCCCTGTCCGAGGCGAGCTGCCAGCCGCCCGGCAGCACCGACGCGAGAAGGCGGTGGCGGCCCCGGAATGCGGCCTCAAGTGGAATTTCACACAAAGCACAGACAGAGTCAGAAGCCAGAACATCTGCACCGTCCTGGTCAAGACATACTGTTGGTCCGCGCCACCTTCGCATGCCAACTTGTGAAATATCTCATAAACCTTTGCTGGGCTTGCACGAGTTGGATTGCAACAGGTGCAGCAGATCGGAAAGCATCCAATCAGTTAATTGCGGGCATGCAACACTGTCGCGTCCCAACACATCGTTCCTCTGGCTGACAATGCCGCGAGGCTTGTTGAGGACATACGTGGAAAAGGAGCGAAGGGCCTTGCAATGAGTGATGGCATCGATTTCGGTCATGACCAAATGCTGCATGAATAGGCAGGACATGCTCATGACGCACAATGACGCACAGCTTGACTCCTACCCTTCCTCCAAAACATCACGGCAACCTGCTCTACTCCTGTAGCTATCCTAACCTCAACTCCCAGCATCCCCACTGCTGAATACTCCACTGCCACGAGAAACGACTTGCAGGCACAGGCAGTATTGTTATTCTAGCCAGGTCAACAGATCTCCTTCTCCCTTCTCCCTCGATTCAGTTCAGCAGCTCAACACCTGACTTGACAGCATGGAAGGACCTTGCTGACTCCCTGTTTCACTCCACTCTTCCGTCAAGTCGCCTGGGAACTTTGCCAGGCCGCGACAAAGGCCAGGCTCGCACGCGCCAAGGCTTTGGGGCGCATGGCCGCGGAGACCCGGCATGCCCAAAACTCACTGTTGGCTGCGTGTTTAGGGCCTTTGGCAGCTGCGGGAACTTCCATCTTCTTTCGCACTTTTGGCTGCTTCAGTGTGCTAAGGACAAAGGTCCTCAGGGGAAGGCCTGGCTTGGTGTCCACGAGTTTTGGTGCTTGTATCTTGTGCCGTGGCACGGGGAGCTACAACATGTAGCTTTTCAGCACTGGGTTCTTAGACTCTGTTAATCACTGCTCAGCGCAGACTGGTAGGGTAGCTCGTGGAAGACACTCAACTGAATAGTCAAGCTATAACTTGGCACTGGACCTAACGTGCGTCGTTGACCTTAAGCAGTTCGTTCAGCGATTCCCATGCATCACAGTGTAGGAGAGCACGAACACTTTGACACAAACGCCCTTGAGCGGGGTCACGCTGGCAACGCCGTGCACTTTGTTGTCGAAGGTCCCGGCCATCTTGGATCACAGGATGATGCATAGTTGTGACTAGGAGTGACTTACGTGTACTCAGCTTTGGCCAAGAAACACTCTCCTTGACTGCACAACACGGCAAACTCACAGGCAGAATCTTCCATGATAGATTACAGCGGCATGCATCATCGTTGGGTCGCCCGCCGTCTTCAGACCCCAGGCGCGCTCGACATGGTAGGCCAGTGGGCACTCGTAGGTCACCTCAGTCGGTTCGTCGAAACAAAATGTGTCAAAGGAGAGACGACGTTTGTGAGTCTGCATCAAGAGATGCTGAGTCGCAGACATAGAAGAGCTCTCCATCGGGGTGTGGCTTTACTCCTCGTTCAGATTCCAGCAGCTCCGATGATGATGAGGATGATGATGATGATGCATGGCCGTCGGGAGACATTTCGCACACACTTGTATGAACTGAAACAATCTCTGGAGTTGGCGATCGCGGCAAGGCGGCCCGTGCCTTCACTCTCTACTGCCTCGCGCCATTTGCCCAAAGCCTCCTCTGCTCGTGTGACCTGCACAAGGCAGCATAGTTGGGTTTCCGGTGCAGTGGCCCACTCAATCATTGCTGCCACTTCTGTCAAGCACTTTGCAGTCATCCCCAACTGCAAGCTAGCTTCTAGCGGCCTGCACTACCTGAAAGGGCGGCTTCAAGTCGCACCAGAACTTGAAGCGGGCGGCCCTGCATGTTGGACATCGAGTCAGGGATCGGGCAAGGAAGGAGGAGAGCTTGGGAGTATGCCGTGACGTGGTCCCCTGCCGACGTGTGCCTGTATGAAACCTGCGATATGTTATATTATATGATATGGTAGGTTGTGATATAACATCGCATAATATAACTAAATATGAAACTCATGTGATATTGCACTGTATTACATGGCATCATGTTAGATTCGATTGTATGTCAGTGTAATAATCTGTATCATACAAGATTAGACTGCCATGCTGTTGTATTAGATAGCATGGTGTTCCCTTTTCAAGGTCTTTCCATCTGGTTCTTTTCCATCATTCTCTGTTAAGTTACATCACATTGAAGTTGTATTGTATTGCGTTCATTTCATGATCCGACCATTATATTAGAGTAAAGCATAGTTTCCTGTTGTGTATGGAATTTTGTCACATTGAAATCGGTCCATATAGATATATATATATATATACATATATATATGTACAAATGTGACTACACATTACATATTCTACTATAGCGTATCCCATTTCATTGTGTTGGCAATTGTATTTCGCATTGTGCCGTGTTCTGAACTACTTTAACATGCTCTGTAGCATACTCTCGTCTGTTACAAGACATTAAAGCACATGCTATGATAAATTCTAGCATCCTCCAGTATAGCTAAGTGCAAGGATATGCTATGATAAGTTCTAGCATCCTCCTGTATCGTTAAGTACAAGTATTCTAAGCTCTAGTCTCCGTACATATACGTGTATGTGATATATGACACAGCTCTATGTACGGAAAACCGACATGATAAACAAATACCCATGTACATTATATACATACATACGTAAACACGTACATGCAAACGTGCATAAGTACATGCATACATACATACATATACATATGTACATACATACAACATACACGAATTACTCTCCTACCTACCCGCCAGTACCTATGCGCACACATATATCTACACACCTGCATGCGTGCATACAGCGTACACGACACGTGTACGTACTTATTACATACGTACACACATACGTACATGTAAAAGAGTTAACTGTCACCACCCCCTTGCCAACCGCTCATTTCCGGCCCCTTTCAGGCCCCTTCCGCGAAAAGGGTAGGGCCCGGGCCCAGAGCGGAGGGCCACCGGCACGTTCTCAGCAAGTCTCCAAGTCCACAAGTACGCGGGTTTTTGTTGAGATGAGCTGAGAATCTGAGGGTTTGCAAGGACGAAGGCCGACTGAGCTCCCTTCCTGCGGATCCAAATATTCACCGACCTGCACAACGCACGCAAAAGAGAGGTTCAGAAGTCCAAGCTAGGCGGCTACAGTCGAGCATGCTCCACCGCTCTGACATTCCTTCGAAGAACGAAGGAAAATTCAATCCCAGCCCAAGTTGCGGTGCGGGTGGAGACTTGTCCGGCCTCTTTGCGCTGGGGGTGCTCTTCCTGCTAAGGGTCGGTTTCCAGTCATGGAGCTCAACGGGCCTTGCACAGTCAGCCCTTCCACAACGACAGACTGAGAAGCTTGCGTCACGCTGGATGTGGTAGTACGTCCATGACAAGACATGTTCCAGCCTTAGCTCTCCAGCACACGGCCGAAGACTTTGTGAGATTTGCATGAACGCGCTTGAGGCTGCCACATGCCCTGCATGCGCATGGTGTTCTCCTTACTCCAGTTCGGCACCTGGGGCAAAAGAGCCCACAAGGCCAAGCAGATGAAGAAACAGGACCCATCAGGCGATCTTCACGGAGGCAAATAGGATAATTACTGCAAGGACAAGCCATGAGCCACACCCGAAAACACCCGCTCCAAGCCAGCAGCCAATCCATTGGCGAAGTCTCGCCTGCGCTGCCAACAGCTCAGGCTGGTGGAAGTCAGACAGAAGATAGCCAAAGACACGAACAAATCAGTCTCAACTGCTGCAAAGATGCTTGTCAGTGGGATCGCGAACTCCCATGTTTCGGATTTCCTTGTTTACATGTCGAAAGTCCATGCAAAGGGCATTGAAGGAAACCTGGTGCCACTTCGCCGTGCTTGCTTCCGTAGGACTGCAGACCAGCATCGTCCCACTCACGATAAGATGTCGCCAATGGCTGCCACGAGCGCCGGTTGGCCGGGCTGCCGAACTCGGCAAAGACGCAGGAGCGTGACATGGCTGGTAAGTGCAGTGGAAAACGAGTGTTCTGATTTAGTCATTCACTGCTACAAGTAGGAGCATGCAGCTGCAAGACTTCAAGTGCCTCTCAGGGGCACAGACGACACCTGTATGCAACGCAAGTCAGTTTGAGGTCAGAACTGACGATTGCGAGGCATTGGTGTACCTTGCATTTTGCTGATTCGATTTTCTTGTACCGCATGATGAACTTGCCCGCAGGGCACCATGTGGTCACGGAGGGCGACTGCTGCGCGTGAAGAAGTGGCGCACTCTGAATCCGACCTGACGGAAGGTCGACTTCCCCGATTTCCACAAACCGATCATCCGTCACAAAGGGTCCACTGCAGCCACACGGCTCATGGGTCGCGTCGAGAAGCCGCCAGTGGAGCGAAGCGTGTGAAGCTTCTCCTGGGTTGCCGAGGTTTGCTTTCCACGAGCCCTGTTGCTCTCTGACAGAAAATTTTGGACAGGCTTAGACAGGCTATGCCGGGCTGAGACAACTGCTCCGCGACGACCAACAGGAGACATGTCCTCAGACGCAGTTTTGGGACAAGTCAAGCCTGGCTGAACGGCTGCGTTCTCGTTCACTTGGGGGCGCCACTGCATCGCTGAAGTGGCTTCGACCTCGCGAAGTTGAGGAGTTATGATCTCGTCTTTGGCCCTTGGACAGTTACGTTCGTGCCAAGCCGCCGGATCGACCTCCCGGGCTCACCTCCCCCGGGTACATTGTCCGAGCCATGCCCTGGGAAAGTGCTGGACTCCGAAGAGCTCGCAGATAGGCGCCAGAACTTGCCTCCATGTCGTCTGCGGAGGCCGGCGTAGAAACAGCTTGGCTTACTCTTCAAAGCTTGCGACTCGTAGCTCGTAGGCTGGCAAAAAGGAGTTAGACTCTCTCATTTCACATGGCCTCGTTACTTGAGGTATCTAGACTCAGCAGCGGATCTGCATAGCCCCCTTTGGGGGAACACGAGCCACTGAATGCCTGCAGATGAAGGGCAAGAATGGGGAAGAAGCTCCAAACAACGCAGGATCTGTGCCTCCGTGTGCCTACACTCGCTGCAAAGACGCTTGGCCGGAGACATTCAATTGGGGTGCTTTATGAGAACCACGCAAACGACACATCATGGACTCTGCTCGAGCATGGCCACTTGGGTAAGCCGTAAGCCCGGCACCGGTTGAGGATCTGGCCACGGCACGGGATTGAAGCCAGCGGGCATAGATGGACACTGTGTTACTACGCACTATGCAAGCATCTCGGTCGCAAGCATGACCAGCGGTCGTGCGGAGCAGTTTGCACTTAGTTGAAGTCTGTGCAGATCGCACGGATGCGGCCAAGCAATGCACTCCACTTGCTTGAGCAATGCAGATGTTCGCCGGCTCTGTGTTCAGGATGACATGCGACATGCATTCGCTATTAATTACGCTGGCACTGGCTGCTGAGTACATTCACATGTTGCGCTCGAGGCCTTGCAAACATTCGCAGCAACGAACGCAGATCTTACAACCTCACCACCTGCGGGTGATATCCCGTCCTCGAGATATCCAACCAACTCCTGGCAGGCAGCTGTATGTGGCACCTTTCGTGTGGACAGCTGCATGAAAGGAAAAGCAGAGTTTGCCTCGATATCATCCTCGTCCTCCGCATCCTCCTCCTCGCTGGCGTGAGCAGCTTCTGCCTCTCACAACCGAAATCCGCACAGAATCTAATGACAGAGCGGTTCTTAGAGACAGTCGTGTTCAGGTGTTAGCCGCGGCTACGACATATTACCACACAACACCTGCTGCACATCTGCCCCATCGCATGTCGCCATAGGCCAAGCGCCTATGATTGACTCAACAATGGATGGACCGGAAGTGTCTGCGAATGCTACTCTGCGGCGTGTAGCTGGAATTGCAATGGCAGCAATGGTTTCCCGAAAACAGTTGCTATGCAGTCGCATCGCTGCCATGATGCTTGACAAGCTCGCTCGTTGCCGGAAAACCTTGCTACACTGCTACAACTTGGCTTGATCAGAAATACTCATGGCAATGAGATGATGCGCTTTGCCATAAAAGAGCATGGCTGAAACCCACAAGCCGTGATGGTGATCCGCAGAAGCACGCGGCTTGGCGCTTTTTTCTCAGCGTGTGCCTGGATGGTTGCGTCCTGGATACTGCAGAGCTGCATGTGGCAGACTTGAATACAGTTCGCTCTACCTGGCCGGCGAAGCCTCGAAGCGGAAGATGCTCCCGCAATGGCACATCAAGCGTCAAATTTTCCACTGTGGAAAATGCGCATCCCAGCCATACAGAGCTGGATTTCGCAAAAGGACCAAATGCCGCGTTGAATCCGCTCTGCATGGCCAGGAATGCTCTAAAAGCCTACAGGCCTACTCAGCAACCATCAGACCGGCGGGCGCATAGGGCCTTGGAAGACCGCGCCTAAGATTCGCAGTCGCACCGTCGGGCCACCCGGTTTGCGTGGCGAATTGCTCGTGCACAGAAACAAATTCTGAAGCTTCCTACCCTGTCTGTATCTCGGGGCGCTTCCGAAATCCTGGAGTTTCACGGTTCATCAGACCGCACATAAAGAGTTGGACAGACAGGGAGATACTGAGAGGCTTCATCCTCTCCTCGAGTACCGGCAACAGCCGGCTGCAGCTTCTCAGAGCTTTCACGAGAAGCCACGACGAGAGTGAAAGTCAGAGCCCGAGCCAAATGCCAACAGCTTTCAACAGCTAAGCAGCTAAGGCTAAGCTGAATTTCACAAGAGTGCATTGACACGTAAACACATCGCGACAGATTTCGTCCTCGGGCTCACAAGCTCAAAGTTGGTTGGAGTTATTAGGGGCACCTGCATGGGCTCTGGCAGCAATTGATGGACGCCCTCCCATGAACACCTTTAAAGCTGGCTCGGGCGAAGGGCCGTAGCTTCACAAGCATCGGAAAGATCGCTTTCCGATTTCCATTCACCCAGCAGTCGCATGGACGCGCCTGACCAAAACGAATTGAGGTCACTCACACGAAGTCTGGGACCGATAGCAGGCTAAAGACAGGTTCCTGTCACACAGCTCCGTAGCGAGCCTCAAAGCGGGTTCTCATAGACGAGACCATACCTTTGGCTGCTCAACAGTTAAGGCCTACAGCATTGCAACCTTCCGCTGCAGTTGTTGCAGACTATCGGCTTCCGATGTTGCATCAGTTGCGTGTCTCCCAGATTGGCTGCAACAGCGCCTCAGTTCCCGGCCTGCTGTTTTATCAACGGCGGCGGAGGATCAGCAGAGGGTTCCTCGACGATCTGTCCTGCAAGTTGGCCCAGAAGGCATGGGTGACATGTTTCCACATGCCCCATAGAGAGTGGAGCAGGCAAGGCCTGCTGGAGACAGGCGCACGGGACGGCCCGAGGCGATTGAACGATGAGCAGCGACGCCTCAACCCGAACACACCACAAGTGCTGTACTAGTAGTTGTTGATGCTTCGAAGAAGGAGGGGACTGCGACACCAGTGCCGCAGAGAAACCCATGAGCACAGCCATCTTGCCGTCTCGCGCAGTCCTTGGGCAACCATTAGTTTACACATGGTCTTGGTGTCATCCCAGCCTCCTTTCCCAGCTCTGATTGCTCGCAGAATTTGATGCCGCGGGTCACTGGCACTGCCCGCTTCCCTCGAACTGCTTCTGCAAATGCCTCCAGCTCGAAAAACGTGGCCCCTTCGTGGTAACCAGCCTTGGCGGCGGATGCGACGTGCACGGGCCTAGGCAACATCTGCTGCCGACTCGGCACGGCTGCCAGCTCGCGCGAGATCGGAAGTCGGATGACTTCGGGCACGGCCCTTTCCTCCTGCGTCGTGAGATTGCAAGAAGTGTAATTACGTAGCTACGCGACATTCTACAAACATCTGGCTCCTTTCCGGGTGGCGTGCGTCCCAACCCACGGACCTTTCGTCGCTGAACGATGCGAACCTGAGAAATGCTGTTCAGAACATGGCAAGCAACCAAGGGGATGCAGGCTTGATACAATATGCAGAATGAGGAGGACTCGACGAGGAGGACTCGACGAGCGCACACGTCTGAAGTACCCATCATGCTGCATTGAAGGCACTGTGGACTCCGGACATTTCGCTTCTACGCTGCCTTGTTGGCAAACCACTCGCACCTGGCAGCATTGCATACAGCGAAGGTGGACAGCGAAACAGAGCCGTTCTGATGAGCGTCCAGGAGCCTAGAGCGAACATTCTAGACCAAAACGAGAGACGATGCCAAGACCAGCCCTCAAAATGAAAGTTGGTTCTGACAGCAGGTTGAAGCTTCGGGAAGCTCCGGGATGCGCAACTCGCAGTCACAAACATTCACAAACCATGGCAAACCCTACCAGCTTTTCTGAGCATGGCCTGCTCTGTCTGCTCATCTTCGGCAAACATGCAGAGGTCCAGCGAAGCCCGCGCACCGTTAGCAAACTCCACAACCTGCGGCTGGCGAAGTCTGAGGCTAAGGTGCACAGTATCACGAGAAATGAATGAGGCACTACCCTCTAGCAGAGGTTGGCAGGCAATGGTACCTTTTGTGACCTGGTATGAAAGATGATCTCACCTGCAGCGTCCTGTTCAAACGCTTCTGACGCTGATTCAACGACCTCTTCGCCGCCGCCACACGTATGCTCAGACTCACACGTGCGATGTGCAATATCCGGACTTTGCACATCTGACACATCCAGAAACACCGTCGCAATCTGAATTGTGCTTGCACTTTGGCCCATGCTTGCCCGGAACGCACATTCCTGACTTCTGCTGTGTCGGTGTGGGAGTGTTGTCCGTCTTCTCATGGGTACAGAAACCGGAGCGGGCGCACTTCATGCATCCAGAGTAACTCCAGCAATCAATGTCACCCTTGCAAGCTGGGCCACGCTTGTTGGCACTGCAGTCTGCACTCGTGGATGGGCTGCTTGGAGGCCCGTGCCCCCACGCGCTGTGGTCTGAGTGTGACTGACCGTGACCCCAGGCATTGTGGCTTGGTGCGACATGGCTCCAACCTGAGGGGCTGGAACTTCCGCTGCTTCCGCTGCCAGCGCCGCAGACTTTCTCAAACGAGTCCACGTCCGCGAGCTTCCAGACACCATCGCTGCCGGCACAGGCTGACAAGTAGACTTGGTCATGTGAGGCGACTGACCAGACGCAAACTCCAAGGCGCTGCAGCTGGTCAGCTGCATCCACAGCTGTGCCTCCAGTTGCTCTGATACCGTCCATGATCTCCAGTGGCCTGAAGGCTTGCGTCATGCATAGCACTCTGCTCCTAAGTGGCCTACACGGCTGCATGACATGGGATCAGGCCGCCTGGCAGAGAGCTTGCAAATCTGCGTGAAGTAGTGGGATGCATCCTGGGCACCAGCGCAGGTCCCATGCTTCTCCCACTCGTGCGTCTCAAACTGCACCTGGATATGCGGATGGGCTCCAATCATGATCATGGGTTAGCGGTTATCTGACGAAACTTGATGAAGACAGAAATCATAAAGACGCGAACTTCGCTGTCTCTGGCTTCTGGAGTCCCGCCTGATTTCGGGCACTTTCAGATGCACTCTGTGGCTTGTAGCAGGACACGAGGCCATTCGGGTCCGCAGAACTCACCGTGGGCCGCATGCACTTCGAGGTCCCGTACGGAGGCACTTGTGGCCAGAGTCCATGCACGGCAGCCCTCGGGTGTTTGTAGTATCCGTCTCCAGTCCCCATTTCCAGTGCCAGGACGCCGCAAAGTGCTACTCCATCGCCACAGTCCATGTTCCGGCCATGCGGGTATCGGCTGCACCTCGACGTGTGGTTGCCATGGATTTGAAGCAGTTGCACCGCTTCGTCGGCGTCGAAAAGTTGGCATCCTGTAAGAACTGCCAGAGCTGCGAGCAAGGCGATCCGGGACATGGCGAATGAAGACTAGAACGTGGAACTTGTGCCAGTGCTCCGAGGATCGTCCAAGCACACTATGGAGGGCTGCGCTTAGTTCTACACGGCAAGCTCTGGGCTTTACCAAAAGGATGGAAGACCCCATACCTGGACCTGCGGATCGCGCATGCAAGTGTAGGATCCTGGCCGCAAGGGCGTGGTCGATAATGTCTGGGATTCCTCCGTCGTAAACCTGCACACGCCAGAAAACGAAGCAGTAGGTGCAGAGGCGAGACGGCGAGAGCCGGAACTACCTCACTAGCACTTGAAATGTGGGATTCCACTTGCGCCGTCATGCGCCGTCTGCAGCAGCTGCACGAGCTTCTGTGCCTCGTCCTTGTGGTTCATGGCTTGGTCACCGGAGGCATACACTGAGACAGGTTCACCTGAAGCTGAACGGGGAAATCTCTCTGCCGTTTTGAAGTCTTACTGCGGCTTCAGGACGGATCTCTTCTCATGAAGCACCATGAGAACCGCACTTTGAAGAATGCGCCGCATGAGGTCGAAGAAGTGGCAGGCCTGCAATGATGTGCCCTTAGGTCGTTACGTCTGGTTTACATCCCCACGATGGCCCTGTGCTTGCCTTGCCTTTTCCACCAGGGTCCCACCAGTGTTGCGGTTGAAACCTGCTGAAGCTGGACGAGTCCGGCTAAAAATGGCTGTCCAACGGCTGCGACAAGCTATCTAGCTGCGACTCTGCACTGCAGGGACAAGTTCCTCGCCGAGCTTCGATTCCAGTTATCCACCTTGACGAGAAAGGGAAAGCGATGTTCTCGAATTGATAGAACCCTGGGCTCGCCCAGCTTCCTGTCACAAGAGCATAGGCTGCTGGAGCATGCTCGAGCACGGTCGTGCTGCAGCACTCCGCCGACACAAAAAGACTGCTGGCGGTGGCACCGTGAGTCCGACTCCTCAATCAGACGACGAATGGGTGGCATGTATCGATACTCCATGCCGGTCCTTGGCAGATGGGCAAAAGCAGTCCTGGCGTTCCCCACCACTAAAGGGATACAGTTGCTTTAGTGTTGCTTTGCTGTTGCCAAAGCCCTCACATGCTCGAAGCAGCCGGAGGGCATGAAGACCGGCGCTTTCTCAGATCCGGAGCGCACGACGCGCTCCGTGAGGAGCCGCTCCACCTCACCGTCCGAGTGCCGGCTGTCGTGACTTCCGGGACGACATGCCCGAGAACTACGAGCCTCTTCGCAGTCCTCAACGGTCGTGCATAACCTGGGGAGTGTGGCAAAGTCGAGACTGCACCTTCCGCAAACTCTGTTTCTTTTCAGTCGAGGCACGGCTTCTCACAAAGGATGTGCTTGCCTGACATAATCGCCTGCGACATGAGAATCTCGAGGACTTGTTAGGCAGCTACTTGCGTGCACCTTTCGAAGCGTGTGGATGTGCTGGAAATTTGGCGTGCAAATGATGAGCACATCCACGAAGTCGCAGTTTATCAGCTCCTCAAAGATTTGCTGGATTTCCATCATGAGTCGACAAGGGTGGCGTCACAGACTAAAGCTGCACGTTCTGTTACGGCCACGACACGCTGCACCCACCGCTCCTCATCGGATTGGAAGACGGCGACGCGTGGAGCGCGCTCGCCTGGCCAAGAAAAGACAAGGGAAGAGAGAGAGCCTTAGCGCAGGCTTTGTGAGTGCTGAGGCACTTCGATGAGTGGGCTTGCCACACACAGGGCACATCGCTGGTCGCATGCTTTGACACATAGCAGCTGGACTTCTTCCTCCTAGGGCCGGCCGAGACACCACCGAGCTCCTCAAGAGCCTCGCGCAGGGCCGCCTGAGGAAGACTTCGATGGGGCAGAAAGGACCGGAATATACGGCGGCCGTTTGGCAGTTGTGACAATGGCGCTTTTCCTTCATCTCATCAACTTACTGGTTCTGCACTGTGGCGGTGCATTGGGTGCTGTACTGAGCCTCCGATGTCAGCTCCAGGCCTCGCTCGAATCCGCGATCGCTGTCACGACCATCTGCTCACCCATCAATGCCTCGGCTCTGCAGCGCTTCACAGCTCGCAGCTCTGCGCAGACATCGCTTCGATCGACAAGTTCGTTTGCTGCCTTGGCCTTTGCAGTAGGCTCGGCACCACGTTGCGAATGTGCTCCTTGCCCATGGCCCCAGTGCCAATGATACCTGACGACGGAAGCTGTGGGCTGTGGTTGTCTCCAGGCAGACGGCAGCGCCTGCTCGGAGGGCGGGGCCCCGCAGCGGCTTGCCCCGCAGCGCCGCAAGGACTCGGCGTGGAGGCTCGAAGCTTTGCCGGGAGTGGAGGACCTCGCAAAGCCATGCCAGTACAAGGTTGTACGAAGCCTTAAAGCTGCCGAAATGCACTGCCGTTGTCAACGATGAGAATGTCCTTGGCTTCGAGCAGCAACTGAAGGAGCACCCTGAACAAGGAGCCCTCGACTGACAGAATTTAGATAAGCCACACCCTTCTTCCAGGCGAAGGCCACCTCTCTCTCGGCCATAAAGCGTGCGACTGCCCTGAGCGCATGTTTGTTCACCGGGCTGAAGTCGCCAAGCACGACGGCCTCCTCGCCCACATTCCTCTCCAAGGACGCGAGACGCACCATGGACACCGAGCAACGCTCAGAGCCCTACATAACTCACAGAACCTAAAATATATATGACACAAGTATGTGATCGAGGATCCTTGTTCTTAAGCGGTGTTTAGCCACACAAACATCTCCTATGTCTATTGTTACAAGTAACGTCATTGAGTCATGCCGATCTTTCATGCGTAAAGCCCAGACTCGTCACAAATGTCGAGCTTTCGGTAGCACCCCGGTATCTGTTCATACAGTCCTTCGTATCTGTATGTAGGCGTTCAGCTATGCACCGGTGGTATGATTCAGCAAGTTTTGGAGTGCTGGTGACTTTTTGAGAACAACCCTGCTTGCTGTCGACAGCCACATGACATGAACCGGCAAACCCCTTGGCCGACGCACTGCTGGAAGGACTTGGCCACAAGCACAACCACTTCACTAAACACGCAACCGGAGACTGGAGATCCACCATGGTGTCGAAAGCACGGAAAGCCAGCCTGGAGTCGTTCCAACCGGTGAAGGCGGCGATGACGGAGTTGAAGAAGACCCGGCGGCCCGTTCGTTCGTCCATGCCTTATAGGGATCCGAGAGGAAAAGGACGAGTCAGAAGCGCTCCAACAAGAACATATAGCTCACCAACCGCTACTGGTAGCCGCTAGTAGCCGCTAGGTGCGCTAGCTGCGTGTGGGGTCCGAGGAGCGCAGGGCTGGCAGGGCCGCCGTCGTTACTTTCAGGTCGCCCCCCGACAGCCATTCCCACGTGGAGCCTGCATCTCGGAGGAGGGCAATGAATGGAAGAGGATCTGGAGCTGTTCCCCAAGGGTGTCAGATTCAGATGCCCTGGCCTTGCTTGGTCATCACCTCCTCAGCCTCTTCTCGCGTTTTGACCGCGTAGGACTCCGCCCAGGAGCGCCCCTGCATACAACATCATGTGCCATCTACATTCCGGATCCCTCCTGGGGAGTTGCCGTGGCACTACAGAATCGGAATCATCGGATACGGCTTTCTGTGAACAACAGTTCTGTGAACAACAGCCAAAACGGAATGTCCAAACTTTCAAGCGACCGAGATTCATCAGACCTTTCTGGAAATCAGTAACACAGCGCCGGGGACGGACGATCAAAAAGAACATGTACAGTGTTGACCATGTCCTCGAAGATGCTCCATGCAAGAAACCTAAGGCTCTGGACCTGGGCGGATGTGGGGTCTGTCACCTCTGGCATGGTGCGAATGTAGCGCACCCCTTTGGCTTCTACCTGGCAATGGAAAGGAGAAGTCAGAAGGGCCGCCGAGACTACGGCCACAGCACTAAGCCTCCCGAGCAAAGTCGGGGAAGTGGCTCATGAAGAAGTCGGCCACCTCATCCTCGGTCATCCACAGACGCGCGGTCAAGGCAATCTTGGACTTGATGAAGCGTCGGCATTTTTCCAAACTTTATGCAGGAAGCAAGCATAGCCGAAAATGCTGACTGGCTACCGAAGGGATGATGGGGGTCGCCCCTCCATGCTTGGACTCAACTTCGCAGCAAAAAAGTATGTAGTTGGGTGGTGTCGGCGATTGCCTGAGGTGTCGCGTGCAGCTTGCTGACACTCTGGCACTTCTTCTCCGCACAACTGAAACACAGCATAGCCAGGCCACGCCAGCTCGTGGTGGAAGGGGATCGGTTGGTCCGGCGGGGACTCGTTGGATGTGAAGACTACGCCTTCGGAGCTCGCAAATCTGGGTGCGACACGGCGAAACAGACTGCAATGGGTCAAGCAAGCAGTTCCCTGTCCTTTCACGACCTCTGTACGAGGTGCCGCACCACCAACGTAGTCGTAGCCTTCACAGCCCATTGCCCGCACCACCAGACCGAAGTCTTCCGCACTGGTGATGCCACCTGCACTATCAAGCGCTCGACTGCCCCGCGTGCCCCTTTTCTCCAGGCTTTTGAGGCCAGGGCAGTCCCGGAAAAGCACCGCCCCATGCTGGAGCAAACTCGGCAAGTCGGAGTCGAGAGCGGAGTGGGAGAAGGGAGAGCTATGCCCAAGCGCGGCTACGACGACATGCTGTGGTTTGGCTACGGTTTCTCCTCGGCTCTTGGCCCCTGGCAGGTCTTGGAGCTGCCCGGAGCGCGAGGCGGCCCAGGCAGAGAGCTCTCGGGCGCTGCTTTGGCGGCTTGGCCTCGGCGACGAGCTCAACGAGCTCAGAGCGACTTGCGGCGCTCAGAGCACCGTCGGGCCGTAGCGTCGCGGCGTCGCCGAAGCCCATGTCACGCCCTCGGCTTTCTGCAGGCGAGCGGCGAGAGCACCAGGGGAAAGTCCTGCCAGGTGCAGGGAAGATCGCTGAACGGCTGGTTCTGGTGGCTTCAATGCAATGAAACCCCAAACTGGTGGCCGAGCCGCATGTCAGAACACTGCTCGATAACTCGGAAGCCAAATCGATCTGAATCTTTACACAAGAAGGTGCCGGAGGAGTGGCGGAGTGCCGGGAAAGCCCGGCTGCCGGCCTCGCCGCCGAAGCTGCGCGGGCGCTGCTCTGGAAGGCTGGCGGGCAGTAGCTCCTTGGTTGACAGGATGGGAGCTGAGGTAGACTCTCTTAGCAGTTCGGCCGGGGGCTACCCTAGGGCTTTCCGGACCAGTGCAGGAATTCGAGGCAGCTCGTGTCCAGTAGATTGGGTCGCTTTGACTAGAGTTGCGATTGCTGACCGAGAATCCATCACTGTGGCGCACCAGCAGCTTGCTGCGAACCCAGCTTGGAAAACAAACTTCACGGCGAATGCATCTAAATCTCGCCACTCCTCATGGACCCTGCATTCGAGTCGCACATGCCTTCCTGGCTTTTATACCGGCATGAACTACATCAAAGGGCAGCACATCGGACATACTTCCGATCTTTTTCATCATCCGGCACGTGTCGCAGGTGCCTAAGGTGGGGTGATTCTATGCAAATTTCCAAACAGGCAAAGGACATGCCAATTAGGCAAATCTCAGAGCCGGAGACATGATGGCTCACAGCCAGATTCCGTCTAAAGTCTAAAGAAGTGTGCCGCTTCCACATCTGTTCCGGTCACGACAAGTGCTGCGCGGTAATGTTTCTACGACCCTCAACTTCCAACATCCACACGACACAGGGCTTCATGTGTTTACTTGCTGGTCGCCGGATCGATCAACACTTGAAAGATCACAAGCTTTGCCTGTGATGAACATCCTGCTCACGGCCACAACCGTTGCTTCCTAAACATCGGTATACTGTATACTGACGGATGCTCAGTCTTTTGCACACTTACACCCGCAGGCCAAAGCTGTTATACAGGACGACTACGGAGGCAAACCGCGACGGCGCATAGCAGTTGCATGCTTCACTTGCGTCTACATGGCCACACCATGCAGACAAAGGGACTACTGTGAAGTCCTCCACTGTTGCGGGGGAGGGCACGAGTTTAGGCTCCGATAGCCTGAACGATTTCGCTCGCCTCTGCATCGTGGCGCAGCTGGACCTGCTCCTGATCCAGGGATTTTAAGCATCTTTCAAGTTTCTGCGACTAGGGACCGGCCGCGAGCCTCCATGACCTCGATGTCTCCGGTGCTCATCTTGCATGGCCTCTGCAAGAAAGCCGTGGCTCGGAGAGAAGGGGTTCAAGAATCTTCCAGAGTTCTGTGGCTCCGGCGGCTCCGGATGGCTTTCGACCTGATCCACGTCCATGGAATCCTGCATCGGTTCGCCGACTTCCAGACACGCCCCAGCTCCAAAAGCTCGCGCAGCATACTTTCTCTTCAGGGTCCTCTGCCTTGGAAGAGTCGATCACCGGAATCGGCGCATCCAGCTTCCAGCCTCGGACAAAGCCGAAATTTGCATCAGACATCGACGATTGCGGCATGCAGTGAGAGCGAGTGAGACTGGTTGCGATCATGCTTCAACGATCGTGAGGTACAGCATGAGAAGCGAGAAAGGCAGGCAGGCCCCATTCCGGCCATGGATAAACCCTGTTCCACAAGCAGTGCTTGTCACCTCCCCAGTCATCGTAATAAGCCCAGTCTTTAAGAGGTCCCTTTGCCTCCCACAGGTCCCAGTGCTTGCCGCTTGGTCGCTCCCAGCTGCGGATCTTAACTTCAACCTGCCTGTCAGGCTCCATACCTCGCAGCGTGACCTCTCGGCTGGTTTCCGGAAGCCCCCAGCACAGCCAATCCAGGTCGTGCACAGGTGTGCCGCCGTAGCGGTCAGCATCAATCTGATAGCAACGCAAGGGAATTTGCTCAAGGCGCTTAGCGACAGCTGGATCCAAGCCGCCGGTCTTCGGCCAGGAGTTAAACGGCCATTCGCATCGACCAGAAACGGGGACAATGCCTGCCAGATACTCGCCGAAGCGCAATGCCAAATGCCAAACGCCGATGGCACCTAAAGACAGACCAGTGGCGTAAAGCCGCGTTGGGTCCACGTGGGCCGGTCCAAGCCGACGCAACATTTCTGTCACAAGTGCCCAAATAGCATCTTCACACCAAGCGTTTCTCCAGCTGTCGTTGTGGCGCAGGACACCGGTCTTCCACAGTGGCTTGGGGGCCAGAAGAACATACTGCTGGAGTTCTTCATTCCGGATCAATTGGTCGATGCCTCCCGAAAGGAAGTCTTGACGGTCATCCACGTGACCATTGCCTGTCTCGATCAAATTTGGGTGGTTCAACAGGAGTCTTAGCAAAGGTCGATGGTTTGGACTTGCTTGGCCTGTCAGGAACAGGAGTACCGGAGCGGGGCCTTCGATGGCGGCCCGCGGTGGCACAACGAGACAGATGGCCTCCTCCTCCAAAAGCGCTGTTCGTTGAGCGAATCTGTGCTGCTGGCATGTCTTGTGGAATGCGAATATCATATATCTGATGCTTTACCGCTTCACCGGACAACGGCCCAAGGCTTTGATGGCGGTAACCCCGAAGATCAGAAGATACACTGCTCGTCTCCCTCTGAAGAGGTTCCACCTATGTCCCGTGGAACGAGATACCAGCCGAGGTGCTGAGGTGCCCGAAGGGGCTTAACCCCAAGGTACAAATAAACCATGGCAGCGAAAACTTACTATGCTGCATCTGCCCGTTCCTCGGCGCCGAGGTCGCAGCGGAAATGCTCCCAGCGGCATTGCTGCAAGACCTGGAAGCACCGCATCCACGGCTACGACGACAAATTCGACCAGATGGAGCGTTACGCCAGCTTCGTGCATGAATCCCGCCGCGACATATTATGACAGCTATGAACCAATGAATGTGCTACCTGGTACCCATTTCGGAAGGGAGGTAAAGATTTCGAGCCGCAAGCAGTATTCGGGAGAAGAACTCCCTTGTGCGCACCCGCCCCCCGACCCCCGCTCCCGAACCTACCAGAACCATGCAGAATTGTCGTAGTTCTGCTGACAGTCACCACTTGATCAAACAAACACGCACTTGAAGCAAGCTGTCGGACTCCTCAGACGGCCGACGACCTCTTCAATCCTGACTCGGATGCCATCCGAGCCTGCAGAATTCCTTACGCTCTCTGCAGCACTTGCCCTCGAGAATTTTACGACCAAGCAGATCGCGAGGGTCAACGGCAAGACGAACTCACATTACTCAAGACGAAAGGCAGCGGGGGGGGACCATCCAGCGACGCTAGCACAACCCCTGGCTCAAGGACCGCGCTGAGCCCTGGAGCGACAGGGAGCGAAGAGGTCGAATCCCCCCGGCCTCCCGGCTCAGCCGCGGGCAGTGTGCCTCATGGCAGCCGGCCCCGTCGCTTTCATGCGACGCTCTGCATTTCTCGCAGCATGTCGCTTTCCCGCGCTCTGCTCGGTAATCGCAGTGGTCACACAGCTTGCACTCCACAACGTCCGACTCCCAAGCAGAGGTCATGGCTTCTGGCAGGTCTTGAGCCGGGCTGGATGCAGGGAGCTTCCCGAGATACTTGCAATACTTCAAAGAAGTTTCGGTGAATGCCTCTGAGATCGAAACTGTGTTCTTCAGCCTTATCTTTGGCTGAGTCCGACTGAGGAGCAGGGCAGCGCATCCCCAGATCTTTCGCTGCTGTCTCCATGTCAACCGAGCGCTACCGCAAAGGCTCCTTGAGGACACTCTGCCGGGGAAGCATGTCGGTGGCAAGCCCCCAGCATTCGCCCAAATGAGGCTTGCAGTGCAAGGTGAAACCGGATCTCTCCCCTCTCACCTCTGCTGTCCAGTGCTACCCGGCTTTGGAAGATTTGACCGAAGCTCTCCACTCCTGCGCATGGCACAAGACAAGGAGAAGTCGCTAGTCGGGAGCCCTCGCTGCAGACCCTGCCTCGGCAGTCGCCCAGTCCACGCTTCCATCCAGATTCTTCGGCAGCCAAAGCAGGAACCTCTCCAGACTCCAGGCTTCTCAATAGTGCCAGGCAGTGACAGAGCGTATGCGCCTATGAAGCGCATCCGGGTCAGGAGATGTCGCCAATGAGGTGACAGCCTCAGTGGCACATGACCCACGTCAGACTCGGACTGCGCTACGCTTCGCACAACTTGCCGAAGTAGCACTTGGCTCTGGGCATCGACTGGATGCTGCCCCACGAGTGCAGCTAGACCCTCTGCAGACTCACCTGGAAACCACAAGGGGCTCCGCGCAGCCGGGGATGGCTTGCGCGCCGAACTATGCAGTCCAGACACCGGCAAGCTCCGTTGCTAGCAGCACGGCTTCCGTCTCCCCGGTCGACAGCGCATGTTCGATGGCCTCCACGAGGCGTGCATTTCAAACTCCCCATCATTTTTGCATCTTAATGCCTGCAAGGAACCAGCTAGCGAGAGCATCCATGTACACGCGCTAAGCTGTTCTGGCTGTGTTGACAGCAGCTCCAATACCGACATGCTTGCACCGTACTAGCCAGTTGGTAAGTTGTACTCCAGGCCTCACCAAAGACGGCAAGCGACACGGTGGGCCTGGATCGCACGACGGCTCTGACCCTGTCTGAGCACCACAGACTTTCTTCTGGAAGAATCTCGGCAGCCAGCCGATCCCCGAGAAGGCAAGCCACAATCAAGTCCACCTGGCCGTTTCGAACAGCTATTCACAGCCATGTTCCGCGGCCCATATTAATGCAGATTTGACTGCTTGCTTCAGGCTGCCAACGCTCTCTTTCTCCTGTCGGCTTGCTTCTGTTTGACATGGCACGGTACCGTACTTGTATCTCTCTCCCTGGAAGGGTTATCACAGTCATCACAGTGATGGCAATGACAATGCTGATGAGGTTGAATGATGATGGATATGATTTTATGACGATGGGGAGGAAGCTCGCATCATGCTCACCGACTGCGATGCAGATATGAATGGAAACAAAGGTGATGATTCTGACGCTGAGAATCATGTGTGTCTTGTGGTCGAGGGGCGGAGAGAAACCAAGCCGTGCGAGGTCTGTCAAACCGGTCTTGCCCAAAGTAACTTTACTGGAAAAGATGGGGAGAGGATGATGTGGCTAAGCTAAGCTTCCTAGTGAGACTTCGAGAATCGCCGGTGCGGTAAGGGCGCGCTTCTTTTCCACAGGCTGAACCAACCATTACAGTAGCCGTGAGACGCTGTCACGCGGCGCGAAAGCCCGGTGCCACGTCTTCGGTTCAAGGGGTCGCTGTAAGGCTCCCGGTGTGCGAACGCGACGAGCCAGTACCCCAACGCTTTGCAGGCAGCATCCGGCGCGTTCTTGGGTGGCAGTGTTCAGCCTTTCTGGACAGCCACCGCAGCTTTCTGAAATCTCCTTGGAGGGGGAAAGCGACCGAAGAACCCAACAAGAGCCGAGTGGATGATGGTAGACTCTGCGCATCAATGTCGACTCTTCGACTATGTGTGAGCGAGGCTCGTGTGGTGGGACAGGCGAAGGTCCCAGCCGCCAAGCTTCCTGAAAAGGACACTTGGACAAACCGCTCGAGAACCGCTGCGTTTCTTCCCTGACAGCCTGTACCACCTCACGCGAGCGTCGAACTCCACGAGCTGCCCAGGCTTCGGTGCCAGGCGGTCCAGTTGCTTGCCCACCTTTCCGAGAAAAAAGCCGTCTGCGACGGTTGGGCTAAAGCTTCCACCTCACAACGGCCCTAGTTAAACCTGGGCACAACGTGCTCTTGGAGTCTTGAAGCCCTCTTTTGTTTGCCCGCGAGCGACTTTTGCATGTCTGAAAAGCAGCCAAGGCGGCTGCTCAGCACCAAAGCTTCGCTTCAGATTTGCTTCAGGTGACAAGGCTGCAGAGCGTACGTCGTGCACGTGGAGCGATTTTGGAGATTCTGAGGGTCTCTCGGCCCACTCCGCGCAGCTATTTCGAGCTGCGCTGGTCCGCCTGCTTCGGGCGAAAGCAACTCGGATTTCGGGAACAGGCTTCGTTGAGTGCTGGGAGAAGCGAATTGCAAGCAGAAGCAAAGACCCACCAAGGTGGGCCCTCGTAACAAAATCTATCCACAGCGTCATTGCCCCCAGCTTGCACCAAAGCCCGAGCTTGCAAGAAAAACTCTGCACGGAACTGACCACAGAGACCAATGCATTTTTTCTCTGCGTCAAAAAGTTGGTCTAGTGTGCGTGTCTGGATGCTTTTGTAACTAGACTACAGATGGCTGAATTTGTGGGGGCACTTGCAGGGATGTGAAGCTATCTGCCGTGCATTTCGTTCATGAGGACACACCCACAGTCAGCAGTGACTCCGCCTGATTTAGGCAGCATGTCTGGGGAACAGAACGATGCAGCGGCGTTTGCGCTTGCACCTCCTTTACACATCTGTGTCAGGAGTGTGCTGCCGTCTGTTCTGCGTAATCGCCCCAAGAAGTCGCACAAGCGTGTCGCTGCCGATCCCGAGCCTCGGAACACCGGCGACAGGAGTTGACGACCTTCTCAACAAAAGGAAGTGGCCTTGATATACACTGCTGGTCTGCTTCACGAGAGGCTGCTTTACGATGTTCTCCTTGTTCACAAGGTCGGCGCCAAGGATGTCATCTAGGCTGACAACCTTTGTCGATGGGGTGAAAATAATCAAGAAACTGTCGTGGAAATGCAGCACAAGCAGACGTCATGTGCCTCGTCCTCGTTGAACTTGAAGAAGTCCAAGTAAAATCTAGTGTATCTCGCCTCACAGCTTGACACTGCAAAGCCTTAAGATCATCAGCTTGTGCAAGCAAGCAGTAACAGCACCAAGGCGCGATGGAAAAAAGGGTCCAGGCGATCGCGCCCGTACATATGCAGGCGGGAATGACATCCATCCTCAGCTCTCAAGCAGACCTCTCGCGCTCTGTGACAATTCATAGACGGCGACATCAGCTACAACACGGCCCATGGCATCGTGCGTGCTAGTTCGGAGAACTGCTGAGCGTTCAGTTGATTCAGCCAGCTTGGGACTCGATGTGACTTGAGTAGCATGGCCTCAGCACCTCAAACGAGACTGACCTGAGCCTCAGCCATCTTGGGAACAAGAGTTCCCACCGCACAACTAAGCCAGGGTCTTGATCCAGGCAATCACTGCCACACTACAGCAGCAAGCCACGATACCAGTGCCAAATGACCTCCCGAACAAACAAGAAGAAAATGAAAGCAACGGACTTCTCTGGAAGGTTCCGAAAGAGCCCATGCGAACTGGTCGCGTGCCTAAAGACGATGGCTCTCTGGTTGTACATGCCTCCAAGGCCACAAAATAAAAGAACTCGTTTTCGCCATCTCGGACAAGCTGATCCGACCGCATGGAGGGCCTTCCACTGCCCGAACCATGGAGCCATCTGGACCGCGCAGGGCGAGGCCAGTGCCCATCACGGTGATGCAGGTCGTCATCGCGACCTGCAAGAAAACATCGCTCGCTCGTCACTTCCGTGGCCAGGCCACACGTTCAAGGGGGCTGTAAGCCGTAAGGTTCAGGCACATCTCAGATTGGCAACCAGCCTCGGTTCGCTCAGGCTCCCAGGCATGAAGCTCAGAAGTTGAATTTCCTCCAGTCTGAGCAGCGTAATGACTGCGAAAACATAGTAGATCCCTTGCAGGGCAAAGTGTGCCGTCTCCGGCATGTGGAACTCGACTACCATGACAACCTGAGGTTCCCAAGTGATGCTGTGCTAGCTTGTCGCGGATCACTCGAAGACTGCCTCGAACATGCGGAGACTAGACTCTAGACAGTATTATATGCCCATGCAAAAAGGCGGCTCGTCATCTCAATAGGCCCTCATACCATCAGACTGTCGTGTGGACTGATGCTGACTTCTCGCCAGAGCACGGCGAAGCCGGCCAGCACAGCTGCCTGTGTGCCGACAGCATCGAAGTTGCCCTGCACCATCGTGTACACATAACGCGAAAGCAATGAAACCTATGCCAGTTCAGAGCTGGGCACCTTGCCTTGTGGAGAGCCAGCTCCTTTCCTTTGAGCTCCGTCGCATTCTTGCGGATCGTGCTCGTCAGAAGTAATTTGTCCGCAGCAAGCATGGTGGCCTCAGCAAACTGTCCACTTGCAACCCATGTTTTGGCACATCCACCAGCCAGACAACAGACTGAGGCCGAAGCTACGTTCTGCACGTAGCACACAAGCACTCAAGCCCCTTGAACTTGAGCTCGAATAGCCCAGGGCTGTTGGACGGCTTGGAACAGGCTTCTCTGGAGTGCAAACTACTCTTACCGCGACACACCGTCGTCAGGACTCCCATGCTGCAGTACTTATGGCTCAGAAGCAGAGTTGGGCATGGCACAGTGGCACACTTGCACCAAAACCAGCAAGGCCTTCAACCAAACGTGGTCTGTGTGGATCTTCTGGGGCAGATCAGGGGAAGTGGCTACGACGTTTCGCAGCAGCAGGGTATCCTTCTGCCATGCCTGCGGGGATTACGCATCATGCTCACTGCTCACTGACACAACTGTGTCAATGAGTCAAGACGCCTTTCGACCACGAGTGCGGCCGCAACGAGTCACCACCGCGCGGAAGCGAAGTCGCTGCATTGTTGCAGCCAGCAGCCCTTGTCGAAGCTGCCGATGGGCCTGGCCCGGAGGGCCTGGAGGGCCTGGAGGGTCTGGGGCTAGTTGGACGCCTTGCCCCGGCGGCCATGGCATGGGGAGCTCCGAAGCGGAGGAGCCTTCCGGGTCCGTCAGGTCGATAGCGCTTGCAGAGCAGCGCCACAGCGGATGCTTCCAGGTGCTCGGGCACATTCTCCTGGCAACGTCTGCTTCTGCTTCCTTCGCACCGGCGGCACTGGATGCTGGAGGCAGATCCAGCAGATCATCCTCCAGATCTATCACTCTGGACGAGTCCCGGTGCCCCATGCAGCCAGCTAGGGGTCGCTTGGCTCTGTGTTGACAACGGACTGATGCTGTGTTTTGACGTAGCACACCCAGACTAATGCTGGCCAAAATCTGAGGTTATTTGCTTCCGGTCGAGAGTTGCTTTGATGCTGCGAGATTGGTGCGGTAGAGGAAAGGGTGCAGACCAGCGGGGACTCACCGTGTCCAGCCGGCCTATTACACGTTGTGGGGAAATCCACGAACACGCTGCCTCCCGCAAGCTCAGCCCCACGGACAGTGATTGAAGGAAAGTGGCAAACTGCTCCGGGCCTCAGTCTCAGCTTTGAGAAGCAAGCAGCTAGGCAAGGCAAGGCCACAACACATTCGCCTCCTAGCCGCTCACGACTTGCGGTCGACATGCCACAGTCCATAAAACTTCCATCGGCGCATCTGAACACATCTGAATCTACACTGCAAAGACACTTCTCTGATGCCCTCGCGACTTCAGGCTCAGCGAGGCACTGAGTTCGCCAAGACCCGTGGTGTCGTGCCGGGCAAAGGCCTTGCAGACACGAAAGAGCCAGAGATGCAAGGACAGGATGTGTATCTAGCGGAAGAAGCAAGAAGGGGTCTGGCGGCAATGAAGAACATGAGCTACGAGGTCAATTAAGCTCTGGCCGCTTTTTGCTGGGAGCGGCCATGCAGTGGACTCCACATTTTCGATCAGTGAGACGGCTTCTTGTGCCAGGAGGCCACGCTCACAGGCACCGACGGCCGCCGCAAAGGTCTGCACCGTGGCTTCCATGCACCGTTTCTGGAGCTCACCCAGCAAACTCAAGGCATGCTGCCACTGAGCAGCGACTTGAAAGACAGAGAGGCATGCATTGTAAACGACCACGTCGCTCTCCATACCCGCCATGCCACTTTCCTCAAGGTCCAGCAGCATTTCCAGCAAAGCGAGTGCCCACTCCCACTGCTTGCCACCACAGCTGCGGATCGCAGCACTGACGGCCATTCGATTCGCGTGGACTCCCCGACGAAGTGAAAGGTGCAAGGCCCACTCCCACTGCCCGACCGTTTCGAGAGCGCTGATGGTGGAGCTGCAAGTAATAGCATTGGGCTGCAAGCTAGCCCTGCAAAGCGATTGCTGCAAGTGGAAAGCCTTTTGCCAATGATCGCCCCTACAGGCTCCTAGCGCTGCGTTGTGGCATACAACATTTCGCTGCAAAGCCCTGCACCGAAGATGAGCGAGCATTGTCAGCGCAGGTTCCCAGTCCCGGCCTTTTGCACAAACGTTGATCGCCGACGTAAAGGGAAGCACGGATTCCTGAAGTCCTTCACTTCGAAGCTCGGCAAGGAGAGAGACGACCCGACGCTGCTGCTTGCCGGAGTCACACGCAGCCATTGCAGCAGAATAGCTAAAAACATCGGCTTGTCTGAGCTGCTGAAGCAAGGCCAGAAAGCACAGTGCCAGTTGCCACTGGCTGCCGGAAGCACATGCACTCATTGCAGAATTGTATGAGACCAGACTGCACTGTAGCCTCACCATGCAGACATGCTGGAGCAAGCAGAGAGCTCGCTGCCACTCCTCTGCTTGGACGCAAGCATTCATCGCGGAGTTGTAGGAAACAATGTCGGGCAGAATCTGCTGAGAGGTCATCTGGGAGAAACACAAGAGAGCCCACTCCCAAGCCTCTCGGCTCGCGCAAGCGCTGATCACAGCATTGCATTGGATCGCACTGCCCGGCAAGCTCTCCTCACGCGTCTCGACCAGATACTTCAGTGCGGTGCGCCACGAGTCTGTGATCTCCGTCGCTCTGACAAGCGAACTATAGCTGATCTCGTTAGCTTGTAAGGATCCGTTCAAGAGATGTCGCATTGCTCGGATTGAGCGTCGCCACTGGGCTCCGGCTGTCAATGCATTGGTCATCACATTGACACCGATCGCATCTGCTAGTACGTGTTGCGCTTGAAACTCGGCAAACAGTTGCAGCCCAGAGTGCCAAAGGTCAACGCTCTGCCAGGCTCGAAGAGCCGCGTTGCACAGCCGGGCCTGTGCTCGCAATCTAGTCTTCTGCATGTTGCTCAGGATGTTCAGGCCGGCAGTCCATAGACTCGAGTGGTTGCATGCATTAATCGCTGAGCCAACTGCACCGGCATCCAAGTCGATAAAGCTGTGGCTCAGCTGCAGAAACAGCCGGAGTACGCTCTCCCAGCGTTTGGACGACTCGTAGGCACAGGCATCCATTGTGGCAGTGAAGGAAGCGAGGCTTCCTTGTAGGCCGCTCTTCAAAGCAATCTCCAAGATATGCACTGCCAGCAGCCACTGGCCTCCTGCAGCACAAGCATTAATCGCAGCATTGTATGAAACGATGCTCCTCTCCAACTCCACATCTCCAATCTCTTTCAAGAGGCATAGGGCACATTCCCACTCCCCTCCCTCAGCGCAGGCACTGAGTGCGGAGTTGTACATGACGACATCGGCTGACAATCGTTGCTGCTTTGTCTCCCTGAAGCAAAGCAGCGCCCTCTGCCAGGAGCTACCACAGGCGCTGACGACGGACGTGCTAAGGAGCAGATTGCCGGAGATTTGGGCTTCCATGCATTCTAAAAGAAGCTGCAACGCCGCAGGCCAGCGTTCTGGGCTGTAGGACCTCATGGCTGGAAGATACGTCCTGGCGTTGACCTGCAGGCTCTGTCTCAACAGCTGGTAGACAAGGCGAGCCGTTTTCTCCCAGAGTTCCTCTACAGCTTCGGCACGCTCCGCCCGGCCGCTGCCCGAGATCGCTTGAATGGCCGCATTCCCGAGCACGAGGTCTTTCTGACCCGCACTTGCTGCATAAGACTCCTGCAACTGCAGGGCACTGCGCCAGGCCGCTTGAGTTGCACAGGCCCGTGTGGCCGACGTGGTGGGAACGTGCTGGGATAAGAAGCCGGCATCCACATGCAGCTGAAGCAGCAGGAAAGCCCGTTGCCAGAGACCCTCACAGGAGTTTACAGCACTGCCGCAGGAGAAAGCATCCCACTGCAGTGCCCGTTTCCTCGCATCGCTTAGCAAACTCAACGCATACGACCATCGATCACCCTTCTCGCAGGCATGTACCGTGGCATTCAAGATGATGAGGTTGGCTTCGAGCCTGCGTGCAATTAGCTGGCACAAGACCAGGACTGCCTGCTGCCAGTGACCTTGCTTCCCCCAGTGATTGATGGATGAGCAGTAACTCGCCGATGTCTCGCGCTGACGCCTCGCCACAGCAAGGACACTGTCCTTCCAAAGCCAAGGCCGCTGGGGCCGGTGGGGCCGGTGGGGCAGCCGGTGCCCATGCGAAGGCGAGTCCTCTCTTTGGCAAAGGCATTTCGGGGCCATGGGCGATCCGGATCGCATGGCACACGGGCCATGTTGCGTTGCTGACCCATGCGTCAGACTACAAGGCACAGCACTGGGTGTGCGCAGCGCCTTCCTAAAGTTTCTGACACCTTCGAGTTTGGGGCCACGAAAGGCCTGCTGGGGCCAAAAAGCATTGAATCATGCAAGCCAGAAGCCAAGACATGTCAGGTGCCTACGACCTTTCCGCGCCTGAACCCAGTTGCCCTTAGCTCGTGGACGACGGAGCAAAGTCTGTCGAGCACGAGCCAAGATCACCTCAGAACCAGCATCGGCGCAACACTCCGAAAGAAGTGCATGTATTCATTTCTTGTCACCACAGTGTCAAGGATTCTTGTGCATACTCCTCAAGGTGTGCGGGGTGCAATGGTTGCAACTCCTTCCTTTTTTTTTGTTGTTTTTTTTCCTGCCCTCAGGGCCCTCTCCCAGCAAGCAGAGATTTTCATTTGCGTGTGCGCCAAAATGCGGCCGATATCTTCGATTCCCGTCAAAGAAGGCTCGGCAGCATAAGCCAAACAAGCCGCAGCGGTGTCACAACTATCCACCTAACAGCAATGTCACTGACAGACGGTCCAACCCTGCAAAAGCCTCTCTTTCGTTGAGGGAGAGAGCATCGGGAGACGTCACTGATGAAACTCCTCAGAAGCTGAAGGAAAAAACTCTCCGGAGCAACGCCCCTGCATCACAAATTTCACGGCACACAGACGAAAACGAGTCAAAGATTTGGTCCACCAACTCGGGTGGGACTGCTTGGGTTTCGATAGATGTCCAGTTCAAGAATTTCATGTCAGGCATTCTCGTTTCTTTGGATTCACAAAGAAGCAACAACAAACAAAAGGCAACCCCTGAGAATCTCCGCTGCGAAAGCTGCACTGCATAATTGTCATGCTATCTCATCCAGCTGGTTCACGTATGGTAGTTGCTCGCTTGATCTGTGGCTTCCACTTGCAAACCGTCTTACCTTGAGACGTGCAGCGGTTTGAGACAAGACGATTCTGTCTCTGTCTCTTTGCTTTTCCCTCGCTTCCGTCCAGCCTGGACTTCATCGCTGATCTCAACATTCTGACCTGAAGCCAAAGCCGCTGCCGGAGTCTGCGGGAAACTCCGGTCTTACATGCATCAGATTCAAGCCGCAGCTTTGCCAATTGCCTGCAAACCAATAGCCAAGCCTATCGAAATCACCCGATACTGCCCTGCTGAGCCCTGCTTGACTTGGAGCTCGGCGGGCACCACGTGCCCCGACCTCGGCTTCCAGCAGACGCCAGACCCCTCGCAATGCTTTTGCAATGCCTGTGGATGCCTGTGGCAGGTGCAGTAATTCATGAAATCAAGCATCATTCAAGTTCTCAAAGACAGTGGGAGGTGGGACCTAACTGTACAGTAAGTAAGTCGGCCACCGAAGAATTCAAGAGTGCTTGCGTGCGTGGTCGCCAGCTTGAGGCAGTGGAGACTCCAGGGCCTTCGACAAGCCCCTTGGGCAGCTCTGCACACAGTCGGGCCTGAGCTACTAGTATCACAGCCTTATGCAGGCTACAAAGCGCTGTGGCCTGGCGGTGGCGGCGGGGGCTGGCCAGTGGCCACCACGCGCTGACGAAGGCGTGAATAAGGGAGCCAGTAGAGAAGGGGAGCACCCAGAGCGTCACACAAGGGTACGCAAAATCATTCTATGCCCTCGCATTGAACCTCTGACATCCTCCTAAATATCCTGCCAGCAACATGCTGAGTGGAGACCTTGCCCCCTTTGTACCCGCTCGAGGCTTTCCAGAACTCATGCTTGCGAGAGCGCCGTTCAGACTTCTGTCAACCATCGCTAGGAAGAGGCCTTTGGCGGTAGCGGCTTTGCACCAAGCTCTCCGGGCCTGCGAACATCGTCGAGCAAAGATGCAAGGGAGTCTTGGTCACTGCATGCTATAAACGATTTGGCAAATGCTGCAATAACTACAATGACAAGTACTGTTGTTTCGCATACCCATGCGACCTCCGTTTGTGATGATGGGTAAGACAACCGAAACCGAGATGCCATGACAAACAACTGCCGTACCACCTTCGTGCCTTCGGAAATACACCATCTCCAAGGACACGGAAATTGCCGATGTAAAGGTTCCATGCTCGCAACCATGCATGAACAACGCCGAGGTGGCCCCTCTTTGAGCAACACGGCATGCACACGATAACTCCGAAGGATTCCTATGCCAAGCAAACAGCAAGGTTCTGGTGCCTTAAGGACGAAAAGCCTATCGTCCTGCGCGCGGCTCAAGAACACGAAAGCATACAGGCAGACACGGATGCGCTGGCACGTTTAGAACGCAAATGCTATCAGAGTAGGATCATGTAATGCCGACAGCGGTGCCTCAGTGCTCGAGGGTTCATATTGTCCGTGTTGACCACTCGAACACACAATGTACTCACACGAACGCAATCACACTAGGTTCGGACATAAGAGGACTCGGCAAGACTACACAAATCATGTCAATGCGCCTCGTACCGGGCAGTGTGGATGACACCTGCCGCGAAACATCCCGGTCTCGCAGGTGAGAACCAAGCGACTGCATTGATCGCCTGTGACTGCCAAGGCGACGGCGGCGGCCGAGGGCCTTCTGAGACCAGCTCCTCGTCGGGTTGCCCAGGCGGGGACGCCCACTGCCACTGAAGATGTCTAGTCACCCGCACGAATGCTGGCATAGGCATAATTGGCATGCCATTCGTAGCTGGTAGCATCACGCGAACCTTTTGCAGTGTAGACCTTGTCGACTCCGCTCCAGAGCTTGTGCCCCGCCCTGCTGCCTCTGGCGGAGGAGGAGGCGGGCTCGAGTCCTCCTCGATCACTTTGATCGCGGCCTCGGGGACATCTGAGTCCCAGGTGCATCATCCCTTCGAACGACGCTAGACAAGTGCCAGAGTGCCCAGCCGGAGCTGTCTTCCCAAACGCAGGCTCTGGAAATTCCAGGGGCTCCGCACTGCAGGGAATGAAGATGCTGACTCTAACAGCAAGCGTTCGCAACGGTTCCGGCTTCTGAGTGGCAGTGGGGGGATTGAAATTTGAGGCCGTGGTTAATGCGGGGAGGGTCTAGAAGCAGACCTGAGGCAGATGAGAAGTCGGTCACCCTATAGCCTACCATCCTATCTCTTCAAGATCACGCATCGCAAGCTCGCGAGACTGAAGTTCCAAAATGACTTCGCAGCAAAAGGGCCAAAGCTGTGGAAGCAATCACAGGAGTCATTGGTTGCTCCAACTTTGCCACCCATGAACTGCCTGCTGTAGGGCTGCAACACTGGCAGCGCAAGAGCCTTCCCGAGCAGAACACAGCATGCAGTGCAGAAAACGTAGCCCGACAATAAAGTGAGATCAGCGCAGCTTCCATGCTGTCCCATGTGGCAGTTGCGAGTCGCAGTCGTCTCAAGACTCCCCGAGTCCTGTTCTGCCGTGGGCCGCTCGTCTGCGTTCTTCGCCAGGAGCAGGCCCACGAGCTGGCAAGTGGCAAGGAAAGAGGTACGAGTATCGACGGTATCGTCATCTCAAACCCTGCAATCGCCGACGTTGCTGCTGGGTGATGCCAGTCAGAGCTGGAGAAGGTTGAAAAAGTTGGGAAGCGTTGGGAAACCCGGGTTCTGAAGTAAGTATACAGCGCCTCAGACACCTCGGAGGCATAGACGTCTGGAATGGGGTCATAGTGCTCAGACACCTGAATGGTTGTCGGCATGTTGCTAACTGCACAACCAAAGACTCACGGCAACCAGCTCAGGCGTCCGCAATGCAGTACACCAGCCCCAGAAGCGATTGCGACCTGACTAGCTTCACGATGAACACATGAATATACGAATATAGCGCCGGAATTGCTGCATCATGTGGCCATTCTACTTACTATCCTGCGTAGACTTTAAGCACCCACGGCAGGGCTCCTGCTCAAAGGCATGCCGAAGGCGGCACCTCGGCCGCTTTGAGCTGTGTGTAGTGACATTGGATACGAGGTTGTTTGGGGGTCGTCGCCCTCTCGTTTTCGTCCACAGACAAAACGGAGCTGGCAGCTGCGATCTATGCTGAGGCTGCTGGCATCTCGTAAAGCACGCATCCCAAGGACCACATGTCGCTCTTGTCGCGGTAAGGCTCGCCCTTACAAACCTGCAGGACGTGACTTGCACACCGGTTTAGAAGAGAACCAACATGATAAAGATACCACAGAGGCATGGACAAGAGCACTTCGCAGAATGGGGAGTTGAAGCTTTAAACTCTGCAACATCTCGGAGCTGTCAAGAGATCCAGAAACGGCTCCTGTGGAGTTAGGACAAGCTCCCGCATGAGCGCACAAAATCTCACAAGGATCAAAAGGTGTCGGAGCTGATGGAAGAGTCTGGAGGACCCGTCGGGGGTTCTTCGACAGTCAGCTCAACGTCTTCCTGGGAACTTCTGCAAGTCAAGCTTCAAATTGTCCGTCGCAGAAGCAGCAACTATCCGCGTTCTTGCACATGCGCGCAAGGAGAAGCATAAGACTCTGCAGCGCTTGCTCCGAAGCTCCGCTTCGGGCATCTCGGCGCAGAGTCTCCTAAGCGGTTTCAGCGAGCCTCTTCAGGGCTTTGTTGCCGATATCCCTTCGGAAGTGCATGCTGGACCCAGTGTCCTCAGGCGGGTCGAAGCTGATCTTCGACACGGCTTCATAAGCCTTCTGTAGAGCTTCCTTCAGGCTGCCGGAAAGGCCCGTCACGGCCAAGACACGCCCTCCGCTGGTCACTAGTCCGCCCTCACTTTGCTTGGTTCCGGCATGGTAAACTTTCACGCCCTCTACTGCGTCAGCAGCCTCCAGGCCTGTGATGGGCAAGCCCTTTGGGTAGGAGCCTGGGTAGCCTTTGGCTGCGCAAACCACGGTCGCCGCAGCGCCGGATTTCCACTGGACTTCCGGGACCCTCCCCTTCAAATTGCCTTCTGCACAGCCCAGCGCCACTTCGAAGAGGTCTGAGTCTAAGAGGGGCAGCAAGACCTGCGTTTCCGGATCGCCGAAGCGGCAGTTGTACTCAAGCAGCATAGGGCCATCCTTTGTCAACATGAAGCCACCGTACAGCACCCCGATGTATCTCCGCCCTTCCTTGGCCAGGGCCTCGACGGTCTTCTGCAGCACCTGCGATTTCCACATTCCACAGCACAGCGTTGTGCAAAAACATCTGTCTGCATCTGCACTTGCCTAAACTTCATGCTGGGATGCATCATGGTGCACGTGCGTGCGCACGTCACCTAAGGAAGCCTTCGCACATCCTGCTGGCCTACCCTACATTGCGCTCCGCACGGGGTCACTTGACATCTTACATCACTTGCCTCTTTGCCTGGTTTGATCTGTTTACAGCACCAGTGCGCCTCTTCCACCTGCACACGAAGCTCCGGAGTCAGGCATGGGGCCGGGGCGTAAGCGCCCATTCCACCCGTGTTGGGCCCCTGGTCGTCATCGTTGACTCGCTTGTGGTCCTGTGCCGGGGCCATCATGGCAGCCACCTGGCCATCGGCAAAAGCCATGCAACTGCACTCCTCGCCAATCAAAAGCTGCTCCACGACCAGCTCGTCTCCGGCCGCTCCGAAGACTTTGTCGACCATCACTTCTTTCACCCCTGCCTTGGCCTCCTCCAGAGACTGCGGCATGAGGACACCCTTCCCGGCTGCAAGACCACTGGCCTTCACAACCACCTCCCTTCCAGCTGCGTATTCGTCCTCCACGTACTTCAGAGCAGCTTCATGCTCCCCAGACTTGAAGTTTCTGTATGCGGCTGTTGGCAAACTGTACTTTGCAAAGAAATCCTTCGAGAATGCCTTGGAAGCCTCGAGCTCAGCAGCCATCTTCGTGGGCCCGAAACAGGGCACTTTCGCCGCTGCGCAGGCATCTGCCAAACCCGCGACCAGCGGGGCCTCTGGGCCGACGAAGACCAAAGCCACCTGCTTCTCCAAAGCCACCTTCACCAAGCCGCTCACGTCACCATCGCTCACCGCGAGGTTGCTCATCCGGTCTTCTTTGGCGGTGCCTCCATTTCCGGGTGCGCAGTAGACATGCCGGACTTTGGGCGAGTCGCGCAACTTCACTGCGATGGCATGCTCACGGCCGCCGCCACCAACCACAAGGACGTCAGCCATGGCAAGGCCCTGGGAAGTGCCTGGGAGCCGAGAAGCTGAGCCGGAGCCCACCATTCGGAGGGGGAGCGCCGAGCGCCATCCGGCGGCCGTCGTGCAACGCATTGCAACATGCAGATGCGAGCTCCAAAGGCTGCCCCCGCTGCTGCGGCCTCCGGCGACATGTAGTATGGAGTCCCAAGCATCGTTGCAGCCACCGCGGTGGTGCTTTCCAGAACTCTGGCAATTCCGAAGTCACCCACCTCAAGCAAGCAACCGCCGACTGAGCTAACCGTGCCGACTCGTTCAACTACGCTGAGCGGCTTTCACGATACGATGGTCCTGGTCGAGCAGCCTAGGATTGCACAGCTGCAGCAGGGAGAGTACACATGCATAGCCAAGCGGACTTGCACACCAGGAGGCATGTTGGATGTCTTGAGGTCACGATGAAGTATTCTGCAGGAGTGGACCTGCGACTTTGGCTTCGGATTTCCTACAAGGTTTTTGATAACAGATTTCGACTCGACCCAAAATGTGAAAATGTGTACAGTAGGAAGCTTCAGTTTGCTATTCTTGATCCGAAGGCAAGTACGTGTTCAACGCACATCGCCACGGGAGGTCAAACATCGTTCGTAGCGTCGTTTGCGGCGAAGAAGGGCGAGACTCAATCTCATTGAGTAGGCACTTTGGTCGGAAAAGAAGCACAACCGCTTGTCCTGAGACCCCTTCGAGGACTTGTGTATGTCCGTTCGAGGTTGCCGTCCCCTCGCGTTTGGCCCAAGACTTCTCTCGCTCCCAGAAACCCACGGCCTTGCAGCAAAGTGCTCAGAAAACTGGAGCAAGTTTTCCAAGTGCAGTCATTCAATGTATGGTGCTGCTCCTGACGTGCGAAATCACATGCAAATGCTCGGATACTCCATCCAGGTACAAGGCTCTCACATAATTCGTGGGTGTCTCCGTATTGGCAAATGGGCGCCGAGGCGAGGGTGGGGAGCAAACGGGGGCACGAGACCGGTCCGCAACAACCTGCCCAACCAGAACAAATTGCAGTTTTGCTGAACTCTTTTCATGAGCTTGCTTGTCACAGTGCAGCCACAAGCCCTGGGTTATGCACACGCACTTTTTCCCCGAATCCGACGAGGTCCGAGAAGTGGCAGATCAGATCAAAATTCCGAGGGGCCCGGGGCAGGCATAGGTCAGACAGGTCCGAAGACCGGTCGGAAATACGCCACCCCTCCTCAGATTGATCAAACAAGGGGTTTCACAACCCCCAATCCGATCCGAGATAAAACAGATGACCCGGGAGCCCGAGAGTGAGAAGGTCCCGCAGAGCCGTACAGTACCAAAGCACAGGTAATCGGCACCTGAGGCAACCGTACCTGGCATTCGGATACTGTTTGAAAGCCGGGCCCAGGACCGGAGCCCTGAGCTATTGTTCCGATTTGAAAGCAAGGAGCTTGTCCAGGATCATCCAACTTGGAGACCAGGAAAGGGAAACATCCCTCCTATTTCCGGGGGAGAATCCCTCGAAATCAAAGTGAGTGAGCTGATCTGCCCACGTGTTTGAGCTCCTCTTGACATGGGTGACTTGAGCAAAGACACCTTTGTGGAACTCCTGGGCGGAGAGCTCCATTAAAAGCGCCGAGCAAGGCCACTTCTTAGAAGATCTCTTGCTGGCAGAAAAGGCGTTACCCTCATTGTCTGTAGTAAGAGGGAGGTGAGCATCAATCATGCTGGGTCCCAAGGACTCCGCAGCCAAAAGGAAAAGAATAAGGGTACCCAGGAGTTCCAGGGCCCCAATCCGGCGCTTCGGCGAAGTGTGTGCCAGGAGGGGCTGCACCCATGGAGTGGTAAGGACATCCATGGAGAACCACAGGACCTCCGCCTTGGTAGGGTTGAGAGAGGGCGAGAACCAGCCACCAATCGCCACACGGCCATCATCTTCGCCGGCATCGCTGCTCCCGTAGCACGGAGTGTTATGCTGTAGACGTAGAGGAACGCAGGGGCCAGAATCCAAGATGGAGACGAGAAGAGTTGCCAGAAAACGTACAAGGTCTCCCGGCCTGCATTTCCGTTCCAGTTTCTGCTCCCAAGCATAAAGTGGCTGGAGGTGGGAGCTCACCTGCGGGTAAGCTTTCGCCACCCACTGCAACTTGCCCAGTAAGGAGGTGACCTCCTTTTTGGTATGGAGTTCCCCTGCTTCCAACTTCAACAAGGCCGGGCGGAGGATGGCCAGCTTCTCCTCCGGGAGCCACACCGAGCCTTCTGAGATGTTCACCATGTACCCAAGCCAACGGTTGACCTTTCCAAGGGCATTCTTGTGCCAAGAGATAGGACAACCCAGCAAAGTAAGGAAGAGCATGAGGGTGGCCGCCCCCAGTTCTCCAAGGCTCTCTTTCATAACCGCCATGAAATCATCAACAAAGACCAGAAGCCACAGGAAGACCTCCGAAATCTGGTAAGAGAGGCGGGTGAGGATGGCTGCCAAACGGCCCCAGTACAGCTGCGCCGAAGCCACCCCATAGGTGCCGACCTTGTTGACCCAGAACTTCTTCTTGATCTTGGCCACCATGTATCTCCAGTGCTTCTTGAGAACCTTGATCCTCCGGTGAGCCTTGCTCACGTCCGACTTGAAGAGGGTCGGTCCTTCGACGCCAGGTGGAGCCAAGCGAAGAGCAAGTCGTAGAGAGTCGGGGCCGTGGTCTTCTTGTCAGTGTTCGCCCTGATGTTGTCATTGACACCGATGACCGAGGCGTCGAAGATGGTCCTGATCTTGTCCAGTTCCTGGATACCCGCCATGGCCCCGACACACAGCTCTGCGACCGAGCAGTCGCAGAGGGCCGCTGCTTCCTGTTCCGACAGGGGCCCAGCCACCATGTCGAGGAGTTTTTCCTCCAGGAAGTTTCTCAATGGTGTCCTCGAAAACCTCCGCGCTGGGGTAGTTGTCGGCAGTATAGTGGGAGCCGGGGGCTCCAAGCCTCTCGGTGCATTCCCCAGTTCCTGCTTAGACGGCCATATGTTCGGGTCCGGAAGCGTCGGCCCGTCCACTCCGCGAGGCACTCCTTCACGTAGGTGTTGGAGGAAGTCCCGGTCCGGGTCCTCCGCCAGCTCCACCAAGGCTTGGAGGATGTCCAGCGCAAACGGCTGTCCAGGAGAGACCTCAGCTGAAACAGGTGAGGGGCGTGTCGCGCGTGGGGCGGGTGGTCGTGCTGGAGCAGCAAGCATAGAAATCAAATAGATATAGTAGATAGACTCGAGTAAAAAGAGAGGGGGGGGGGTGCAGAGCCGGGGGAGGGGGGCGGGTGCAGAGCCAAACCTTGGGGGGGGGCAAAGCCAAACCTTCTGAAAGGGCGGCAACGCGTGGAGTCGGGAAGAGAGGAGTGATGCCAGTTGTTGGCGGAGGTCTGAGACCCACTGGTCTGGCCAGGGGCAGCCCCGCGCCTGGGTCCTGAGCGATTCACGAAAGGACGCCATAGGAGAGACCCTAGTGGAATCGGCACCTGTGGCAACCGTCCCCGAGGTGAGTGTCTCCTCGATCCAACAGCCAAGCCAGGCCAACTTGCATTTTCCCCTGCCTTCCGGCTTGAGCCGCCCAGGGGATGGCTTACCACCACCATCCCTGAAGGGGCGAGAACGGTGTCCCAACCGGACAATTAGGGTGCTAGCCGCCACAGGAGCCAGTGCTGAAGCAATGGAACGGTCTCCATCCGTGTCCCCGGATGTGGAGAAGAAAGCTAGCAGGGACGTGGCCAATTCCAGATTGAATTGCCACCCCCAACGGGCCAAAGTCAGAACTGGACCACCAGACGGGGTGGTCCGGATGCCTGCACCTGAGGCCATCCCAGTCAAGGGCCAGATTGCTCAGAACCGCCGTGGGTTTCCTGGCCCCGTGCCCCAGCATACACTGGTCAAAGCAGTGTATCTTCATCCGTGTCAGGCCCGCGAAGTCTTTACACTGGGCCGTGGCCCACCATGAAGAACAATTCTGCTGAGCTTCCGAGGTACCTTGGTTGGCAGGATCCTCCGGGTGTTCCAAGAGGAAGGCAGGGGGCCGAGGGCCCGACGCCACCGCAAGGTGGTAGAGGAGAAGCATCCTGAGCAAGAGCAAAGAGTCATTATCCGTGTCCCTGAGCACCGACTCCGGAAGGTCTTCAAGGCCCCAGGCTGCTTGACCTTTCCTGCCCCTGACTGGACCAGGACAGCCAAATCTAGGAAAATGTCGCAGAATCGACCAAGTCCTGCAATTGGGCCCTCCAATGATTGCCATGAGGTCGCCAGAGAGGGCCAGGGCACAAAGGTCAGAAAAGGTCTCCTCGGAAAGCACATCCTGGGAGATCCCCCCTCTACAAATATCCAATTCTCTGACAGAGGCCCCCAAGAAAGGGGCGACTTGTGCAATCGCTGCCTTAGTGCTTCGGGCATCATCCTTCCCAGCATAGAGAATGAGCACTGTAGGCTGAGACGGCTTGCCTGCAGCCGGCCAAGAAGCCACCCCAGGCAGAAGTCTGTCCAAGAGTCTCTGAGGGAGGCCTCTAAAGCCCGGAAGAGTAGGAAGAGAATGGTCTCGATTCCAGCGGTCGCCCGCCGCTTCTGTTGAAGAGCTCTTATCCGGAACAGGCGGCTGGGCTACTTCCCCAGGGTCGACAGCCTCCGTGGTACCCCCCAAGGGAGCTGTGCGAGGTGTATTCTGGGACCCGAAAAAGTCCCGACTCGTCCCGTGCTCGCAGGGAATCGGCACCTGAGGCAACCGTCCCCACAGCCGCCAGACTGGAGCGAGGAAGTCCCGAGCTTGCCACCACGCCACTGGCTGGGAGGAAAGAGACGGCCCCTCGCCCCTCTGCAACCCCCGGAGGGGAGGGGCCGGTTTCTCACGAGTGGTCAGCTGCCCTGTGGTTCTTCTCGCAGATCTTTCCGTCAGGCAGGATAACAGTGCAGTTGTGGGAGCGACCACAGTCGCCCGGGCATCGATTGAAGGCATGGTACTTCTTGCAGAACTCTTTGCCATCGGATCCTTTGGCTGCCCACTCTTGGCGCGATGCCTTGGTGCGAGCGAATGTCGCCGGCGGTGGAGGGGGGTGTTCCGCCGCCTCCTCCGAGCGAGTGGCCCAACGCCAGTCCTCCTTCTTAGACTTGCCCTTGCCTTTACCAGGCTTCTTGCCTTTTCCTTTCCAGTAATCCCACTGCTGGAAAACTTTTCCCTTGTCCTTGTCCTTGCCCTTGCCCTTGCCTTTCCTGGGGCCCTTGGGCTGGACAGTGTGGTGGCGACGGAGGCAGAACTCATCGATTTCCATAGACCAGAATCGCGAGTTATTCTGGATCTCTTTGAGGGCAGCTGAGATGGTCAAGGTTTCGTCCTTGGCCATGTTCAGGGCCACCTGGCGCCAGACCTTTCTCTCAGCTGTCATTAAAACCCCCAGTGAGGGGGCGGACTCACGGCCCATAATGGTATCTCCGAAGAGGAAGTTGTAGAAGTCGTCCAAGTCTGCCTTGGTGAGGTGAATGCACGAGGGGCCCGTGCATGTTGCCACAACCATGAGGAGGGACGTACGCCAGATCATGAGGACCCGTTTCCACTGTTTCTCCGACTGGACACGGTTGGATTCCTCATGGATCCACTCATCATCTTCTTTGCTTTGGCGCTTCTGGAACTTCACTTCCCCATCCTTGGGGTGGTTCGCTACGACCTTGTTGAGATCCAGCTGGGAGCCCGACAGGAACTCTCCCCTGTACAACACCCTCTTCAAGACCCCAAGCATGTGGTCCGAGCCTTCGTATTCCCTCTCCGGTTCCGTGCCGAACTTGGAGAGATAAGCTGCCCTCATTTCTTGGCGGTCACCTCTGCCAATCATAGCCTTGTAGTCCTCAACAGAGTGGATATCCACCTCGGCCAGCTTCCTTTTCTTTAAGAGCTTGAACTGTTCCACCGCGTTCTCCAGGCGGATAGCGGTGAGGACGCACGTGTGCTCATCGTATCCATTCTGGCCCGGTGAGAAGCCCAACTTGGGAGCCTCCTTCCGGAGTTCCTTTTCATCCCAGCGGCCTGCCCAGTCCTGGGCCGTGACGAAGCCCTGTTTCCCCATGACAAAGAGGACTAGCCATGGGACCTGGTGCCTGGCAAGGACCAGACGAACATGCTCATCGATCTTCATGACCTCCTCCTTGTAGGGGTCCGGGCACAGCTCCGGGGGCCGTGCCAGGGTCAGCTTGGCGTCGACTTCAGCACCCGGTCTATCCATACTGCCCGGCGGCAGGAGGACCCGGCTTGAGCGAAAAGACTAGGAGAGGGCGGGAGGGCAAGAAAAAGAACAACACGGGAAACAAACCCCGCGACACCGAGACGCGTCGTGAGTCTGACCCAAAATGGCAGCCGGCCCGAGCAGGATGCAGAGGGAAGGCTGCTGGCTTGGCCCTATGACATGCGAGTTGATCAGTGCAAGCACGGATTCCTCTACAAGTCACAGTGCAGCCACAAGCCCTGGGTTATGCACACGCACTTTTTCCCCGAATCCGACGAGGTCCGAGAAGTGGCAGATCAGATCAAAATTCCGAGGGACCCGGGGCAGGCATAGCTCAGACAGGTCCGAAGACCGGTCGGAAATACGCCAAGTCCGCAGGGCTAATGCCTGCCAACTCCGAAGGGCCCACGCGTGGTAAAGGGCGTTCACCTCAAAATCCCCCACCACCAGGGGATCGGCACCTGTGGCAACCGCCCCTGTGGAATGGGGGGGGTCGCCATAAGTCCTGGTATCAAGACCAGGGGGCAAAATCAAAGGGCTCACAGCACGATAGCACACTGCCATAGCAATTCAGCAACTCCCTGAGGGTCACTGTCTGGAGGTTGAGCCGCCAATGGTGGGGCTCCCTGTCCACCTTCCCTTCCTCCACCGGCTTGGAGAGAGCCACCATAGGGTTGAGGAGGTTCCCCACCATCTCCGGGATCTGCAGGCTGTACGCCGCCAATCCGTGATTGGCGAAGACGGAGTTCACTGAATGCATGGCCGATGTGAAAGCTGTGTGGCTGAGGTCCGTCCAGCCGGCGTACCATTCGTCAGCCTCCACCTGAGTGACCGCGCCAGGTTGTCTCACCCACCTCCACCCTGTGAGGTAGGTCTGTTTCTTGCACATCTGCAACATGGCATTCAGGGTCCGTACCTGGTCTTCCAGAGTCTCAGGGGCCTTCGTCCCTTGCAGCTCCGGGAACGGCTTGTCGAAGAGGGCCGGGTTGAAGAAGGAAGCCGCACGCTGAATGTCGGCCTGGTGCTTGATGTCCCCGCCTTCGATGTCCACAGGGACATTCGGTATCGACTGTATGAGTTTGTGGACCTCCACCACTTCGGACTGGATCCGGCCGAGCACCTCTGGGTCCCTTTCCTGGAAACTCGAGAGTTCCCCCGTGACCCCTTCCGAGTGGGGCTCTACCAGATCGACCAGCTCCTTGCTCCACAGGCTTGGCTGCTGGACCACCGGAGTGTAGACGAAATGGTCCTGGAGCTGCTCCGCGTTGCGCTTCTTGTTCTCCTCCCGCTTGGCCTTCTCCTCCTTGTCAAAGGTCATCTCACGGGGCGCCAATGTCCTGCGCATCGCAGCAAGAAGGCCCTGGGTCTGGTTGGTCCCTCTGAGGTTGGCCTCCAACGTGGCGGTAGAGACCTGAGCCATGTTGGCGACCGCCCTTTTGCCCGGCATGAGTGCCGTCTTAGCGACCTCTTCCGCCGCGTCCACGGTCCCCTCCTCCATGGCCGCCTGTTCCAAGTGCTTGAGGTTTTCCATTGCAATCCATCGGCACCTGAGGCAACCGGGGTGTCCCCCTCTGCCTTCTCCGGGACCTGCTCGACCCCAGGTCCAAAGCTGGCCTCCACCGACATGCCGCCCAGGTAGGAGATCACAAAGATACCCCCCGCCGTCGCCTCAACCTTGGTAACATCCGAGAGAGAAAGGACACGACCAGCAGCATCTAGCAGGACGGGTCCCGAGGGGCTGTCGAAGTGCTCCCACCCTGTTGCCCAAAATCCAGGAGGTTCCCCTCAGCGTGCGACTGAAGGAGGCCCAGGGGGGAGGAGCAGTCCAGATGATCGAAGATGTTCTTAGCGACCTCCGCCCCCGGGACCAGATCAAGGAGCGTGGTGTCCTTCTGGTCCGGGGTCTCCATCAGCATCCGGAGGTTGCAGATTGCCATGCCAAGCTTGGTCAGGACTGTTCTGACCGTGGGCACATCCGCATACTCCTTCAAGACGTGGGCCATCTCGCCCTTTTGGACCACAAGGAGGAGCGGGAGTGCATCTCTCTCGCAACAGGTGAAAATGTCCGCTCCTTGGTTCTTGAAAGCCGTCGCCGCCGCCTCGAGCAGCCCCCGCGGCCGCCCTGAGGACTTTCCCTCTGTGTGTCTTGTTCTCCAGGTTCACCGCCTCGGCGAAGGTAGCCGCACCCTCGGAATGCTGGGCCGCATCCTCAAGGGTGATGCGGGCGTTGGCCATGTCCGGGCTAAAGACCACACCGACTTCGTGAGGCTTCTGCTCCGGACCATCCTCAGAATCAAACCTTGGGCAATCTAAGGCCTGCTCCTCCATCTTCTGGGCCAGGTCCTCCGAGGAGTAGGTCCCCTCCCCCCGGCCAACGGCACCTGAGGCAACCGGACCGGGTGAGGAGTCCTTCCCCACCGGCAACTTCCGCTCATATTCCGTCTGGGGCCGGCCGAACTTGTACTTGAAGTCCTCCCTGAAACTGTTCGAGGTGTTCTGCCAGGCACCCTCCACCAAGCGCCAGGAGGATCCATCCGGGGCTGGGGCCTCGATAGAGGCATTGGCTTCCCTGACAGGAAGCACCGTCTTGTTGCACAGAACGCAACGAACCCTGAGGGCAGAAGCAAACCTACCCCCACAGTAAGGGTCCGAGCAGATGTAAGGCAAGGGCACAGTAGAAGGCCTGGGCACCGTGGCTGTTCCAAACCCTTGGCCCTGTTTCTTGAGGATTTCCTCCTGGCGGAGAGTCGCCATTCTACTGCGGAGGTGGCCCCCGACATTAAGGTTGGCGTCCTCAAGGAGCCCTGTGTTCTCAGACTCCACCACGGCCACCATCTTCTCCACCACCAGTTTCGGAAGGGAGCGGAGGATGGTTGCAACGTCACTGCGGAAGAAGCGGTCGGGCATCACATCTGGGGAAACTAGCCTGTAGACCGACTTGGTGGCGTCCACGCATTGGACCACCGCCCTGTCCGCTCCCATCAGTTCCTCTTTCGTCAATGACGGCAGGGAGAGGATGACAGTGCCCACGTTCTTGTACTCAAGCGTGTGCTTCATGTGCATCAAGCCGCTCACAAACTGACTGGGGTCCTGGTGGAACTCCTTAGATGTGGCGTCCACATGGGAGAGGATCTTCACCCGGTCCTCCCTTCTAAGGCAGTTCCATCGGGCCAAAACTGTACTGGAAAGCTTTTGGCCTTTCACCATACCCACCTCTTCCGGTACGGTGCAGTACCATCTGCACACTGCCTGCCACCATGGGTGGGACTTGCTAAACAAATCCATGACCGAGACAAACGGGAGATCCTTCTGCAGCATCACGACCCGATCCTCGATCAGCGGCAGGACCGTCTGGGGGTCTTTTGCCGCGTCGAGCTGTTCTTGAACCCACGCCTGTAGAAGCTCGATGTCTTCATGTTCCACCCATGAGTAATCTCCCGAGGTGCTCGGCACCGTGAGCGAAGGTGCCTTGTCTGCCATGACCCAGGAGCCACTGACCGAGTCGATAAAGCCTGGCTCTGAAAGAACCCCATCCTGAGCTGCCGATGGATCCCCCTGGGAGGAAGGATCGGCACCTGGGGCAACCGCGCTCCCATCCCCAGGGGGAGCGTCCACCATGGCAAAGTCGCCCTCAGCCGACGGATCAGCCGGCTCCACCATCTCGACGACACCCCCTGGGAGGGACGATCGGCACCTGAGGCAACCGCGTCCACTACCACAGGAGGCTTGCCAGCAGCAGAGGAGTCGCGGCTGGAGGTCAACAGGCGGTTGCGCTTCGTCTCGTCGTACATGTCCAGGAAAAGCCGCTGGAGAATGGGGTGTCCCTTGAGGAGACCCAATGTGTCACAGGCTCGAAGTGTTTCTATGACACCGGCTCGCTTCACCGCATCTTCTGTCTGCTTGGTGACCTGGGCGAGCAAGGCTATCACCTCTTCAAGCACCACACCATCTGCAGCACCTGCAGGGGCTGCTCTGGACGGGATGGGGGCAGCTTCTGCCTCAACCCCATCCTGCTGAACCACAGGGTCAGAGAACTCGTCAAGCTCGAAGAGACTCTGTTGTGCACGTTGCGCTGCCAGACTCTGTCGGATCTGGACAGGTACATCATCATGTGCGGCACGCGAGGGGGTCGACATGACCAGCAACAGAAAACCATCAACAAGAAAAAGAACAACACGGGAAACAAACCCCGCGACACCGAGACCCGTCGTGAGTCTGACCCAAAATGGCAGCCGGCCCGAGCAGGATGCAGAGGGAAGGCTGCTGGCTTGGCCCTATGACATGCGAGTTGATCAGTGCAAGCACGGATTCCTCTACAAGTATCATTTATTTATCATGTCTTTATCGTTGTTTGATCATCGTTTTGATCGTGCTTTATCATATTCGTCGTCCGTTTAAAATTTTGTGATCCTTCAGAATTCGTGGTATCGTTTCTTATCGCTTTTTAGTTCCAGATTCGGGGTATCATGTCTTTATCATTCTGGGAATTGCCGCTTTGGGACCGGACCAAACCATGAATTGTCGTAACCACCCAGAACCAGGTTCAGGATACGTCCAAACGACAGAATAAAGCCAGAATATGCATGTCCCCAGCCAGGGTATGTAGGAAAAAACCTCTCAACCCTAACTAAGCCTCTGTATCGAAAAAATCAAAGCCCAGCAAGACACGTAGAGCTCCACCCAATTGGCTACAAATGCTTATGACATCGCGTATCACCTTTTCTACGTCTGCCCCTGGATCGGTGACGCATGAGGACGATGTTCTGATTCACATCCAGCGCGCGCAATCTGACGTTCTTTACGAAAGACACGTGGCCCAGTTCTGATCAGCCTCTTTTCATCAACAAACCTTATCTCTCCGAAGATGCCAGAAATCAGTTTCGATTGCTCGAGATGAAGCTTCCTTTTGTCAGATAAGTACGCACGTCTTGCTGTTCCGATTTGGACTACCTAGTGCTCGTTTAATCCGTTTCAAGAAAGCACGATGGGACCCAACAAGACTGGCACTGAGCACCCGACGTAACCCACTCCCTTGAGCATTTGCACGAAGAGGCTCAACACCGACTCTTCCGGCAGGCGCCTTGGCGGCGTTTCAGGACTGTGCCGCAGGCGGCAGAAAGCTGGGAACTTGGCACCCGACTCTTCCGCTGCGGCACAGTTCTCGAGCCAGACTCTCAGGTCTCCACCTGACAGAACGCCGCATTTTCATCTCAAGACGGCGAGGCCACGTGGACAGTCCTGCACAATACTCCATGACATTGACGAGTGCTTCGCCAGTGTGGGGGGTCGTTCCTGAATGCCGTGCAACCCCTCGCACGTCTGATTGTTAAGAAGTGCTGTGTGAGAATAAAGTCGCTGTCGCGCCTTTGTGATGGAGGAAGGATGTGTGGTGTTGGACCTCAGGGTACATCGTCAACCTCCACGACAAAAAGATGATGCTGCACATCCTACCATATGACGTAAGCAGCCAACCACATTTGGATGCTTGAGCCTCAACTTTCAGTCAGCTCGGAAGCCTACGCTGCGTACTACTGCGTATTGCTGCGGATCTTGATTGCTGCTTCCGAACTGGGAGAACCACAGCCATGCACTGGCACTGAACATCGCAGACCCACGGACAACATATACATGCACAAGGATTTCTCTCCGATGAATACACTCACATTATTTCTGTCTGTGTCATCAGCATTCTCACGAAGATCCAGCTGCTAGCTACTTTGACCCAGGCCTCTTCAAGAGCTCCACCTCCTGCAAAGCCAAAGCGCGGTCTTTGTCCTGCAAAGACAAATCGCAACGTCAAAGGGCTGGGGCTTTCAGCTGCAGTCATATGCGAGGTATGGCGGACCAGGCTGCAGGTTCTGATTCCCGGTTCAGCTGAACTTGGCGACACGAAATGCGCGGCTTCCGCCCACCTACAGTCGAAACTTCCGGACATGTGCCCCTCTGTTTTCGCGCGTCCTTGCACCTCGTACCCTGGCCAACCTAGAGTGGCATGCCCTTGATAGTTGTAGTCACCGGAAAGCCGGACAATATGCGACAACCCGAAAAGCGGAGTTTGCTGCCCAACTGCGGCAAGTCTTCCCGAAAGCAGTGCCAGTCCTTAAGATGATCAAGGAAAACGACTTTGGCCACCACCTTCCGTGACTTCACGCTTGTATAGCCGTATAGCCCAGCATGAAGAAAGGCAAAACCGGCCTGCTCGGGCTCTCCGGGTTTGTCTGTGCACTCCACAAGATGCCTGAACGGCCAAGCGGCCAAGCCCTCAAGCGGTCGCCGTCACAGAGACTTCGAGTCCCTGGCGCCGTGCCATACTGACCTCTTCCCAGCAAGCGGATACAGCGGAAGCCGCCGGCCTTATGGCACCGAAATGGCAGAAGTTGCTTCCTCGACGGCACTGGGCACTCAGAAGCAGGCCTGCAAGATCTGCAGTTCGGGGCGAATTATTGTCACCTCCTCAGCAAGTAAAGGACAAAACAACTGCCTGTAACACTCTTTCCACGCTTCGAACCACGGCGGAACAGGCGGCACAGCTCTCGTTTTTCTCTCCAAGCTCCAGCACCTCTTGCTTCTGAAGCCATATGGCTGGAGCGTTCGATTGCGGCGACACGCTCTTGCACGGTGATCGCCGGGGCCTGACACATCTGCCCAGACTTTGCACTTCTGCCTACTAGGGCTGCCATTTGCCAACTAATGCTCAGGCTTTTGGCTTTTCCTTCGGCCTCCGTTGCATTGAGGGGCGCCCCAACTCCATCACCTGGGAGCGGAAGCTGCTGAAAAATGTCGGGGGGGTCACCAGAATCAGGCAAGTCACGGACTTTGGAGGCAGGTGCCGCACCGCTTGCGGCTGCAAGGCGCTGGATTTCCAGGCAGTCCATCTGAAGATCTGCTGCGAAGACCTCCCAGAACTCCGTTACTTCGTCCAGGCTGCTTGCACCCATCTGCCTGGACCATCTCAAAGCTTCCTCTGCATAGTGCCCGAGGAGATGGGACTCTAGCCAAGGCAGCAGCCACTGTTCTGCACCTGTGCGAGCGACCGCGCCGGCCTCGCCGGCCTCGCCTTTGCAAACCTCTTGGAGGCAGCTTCTGTCTGTTGCCTCGAGTTGAAGATGATCCGCCAGGTCCCGCCAGCTTGCCATCACTTCAGCGGCGTCGATGGCCCCCATCGCCTCACACCAGGCACTCGCCCTGTCACACTCGTGGAGGAGGCCACAAGACGCCAGCAGCGGCTCGAGCCATGGCAAGTTCCTGCAAGGCCCGGAAGGCCCATCCATGGGATCTTCCGGTCACTACGAGAAGCGGCCGTAGTTTTTGTCCACAGCTTCCTCCTCATTTTGACTGAAGTGTCCACATCTGCACAAAACTGATCCGTTTCTTGCCGCTTCCCTCACATGTCATTCCCTTTTCTTGACCTGAAAGCCAATGCTCCGATTCCTGCCGGAGACACAAGGTGCCAGCCCTGTGCAGCCCAGCAAGCACGCTCAGGTCCGATGACCCCGATTACAACCTGCTGCTCTCAGACGCTACGCGGCGAGACGGTGACTGAAGTCTGAAGCCACCTTCCCAAAATGAACTCTTACCACACCATGGTCCATCCTCGATCTCTCGTATTGTGTCGTGTATTAATTAGACGAGTCCGGGAGCTTGGATGGTGCTCAGCGAAACTGAAGTTGAGAAGCTCACTGGTCAGGGAGGGGAGGGGGCAAAATGTGAGCGAGCGGCTGAGCTGCATCCCGGCTCGTCTGCACCCGCTGCTGCCTTAGGAGTGGCTGGTACGGTTGCCTCAGTTGCCTCGTGGCTTCCTCGACTCTCAGCCTCTAAGGCACGCACCATGACACAGGGCCACAAATGAAACCGCTGCGTCGGCAATCGTCGGCATGCAGGACCGCAGCGCCGCAGAGGACAGCTACTAAGAGTACTAACACTTCATCAGCCCTGCAGGGCCCAGGGCCCTGACCCTCGGCCTGACCCCTTTCTGCGCAGAGCTTGCGACTCTTGTTTCAATGAGGTCTTTGGTGCGACATGTGACAGCCTGTTGCAGGCGTGCTTGAGTGACCTGTGATGGTGATGATAGTGCCTCAGGCTGAGCCTAATTTGATCTTGCATCCAAGCCAAACAGCTTGTTACGTCACGAGTCCTGCAGCAACCTGTATGCGAGGAAGCCGCCTGCCTGGTATCTGCCTAGATTCTACCTAGATGTCTTCATATCTCCCTGCGGCCGTTGACTTTTTGAAGCTGCATGCCGGCGTTTGCCAGAGGGCTTCGGGAGCACGACCTGGAGAGCAGAAAGTCCTCATGATGTCCTTAGCCGGATCCGCCGACTGACAGGAATCTCATCTGCGGGTGTCGAAACTCAGCTCCAGGGTGGTCTAGTGGATCGGAGTCTCGTCCTGTCTGTTCTGTACTGCAACGCCGTCACTCTCCAACTGAAGGGTGCATCGGCAGCTTCAACATATACCGGTTTGGCCAGAGCACTTCCGTTTACACTGCATGTCCGGCATTTCGCAACAGCGTACGATCACTGAACTAGCGGATTTGCCTGAAGGTCAGATTCAGTCGCCCCGGTAAGCTCGCCAAGTCTCTTTGGAGCTTCTTCGGAGTAGTGTTGGGGAAAACCTTTTGGATGCCATGATGAAGCAGGCGTGCCGGACCTCCGAAGATGAAGATGTCACCAGACTTCAGCACGCAGCTGCGCATCTCCTCCCCTCCTTCCGGCTCCGGATTCATCGTGAACAGAAACCGAGCAGAGCAGCCCAAAGAGAGCGAAATCACGGGAAGGCCCTCGTGAAGGCTGGACTCGCTTTCATCCAAGTCCTGATGGAGGCCAAGGGAGCCTTCCGTTGTATAGTGATTCACAATGCAAGCCTGGGGCTGCATATTGGGGAACATCTGCTTCTTGCACTTCTGGTTCAGGTCGTGCTGGATGCCACATGCAAGATCAAGAAGGTCTTCCGGCAAGGAAAGCACCGGCAGACCGTCAAAATCTGATCGTACATCCGTGTACTCGTGCGAGAGCATGTCCCAGTGATGTCCGAGGCAGAACGTGCTAAGATGCATATGATGCTTCATATGCCGACCTGCAAAGCTTGGCTTGTAGAACCCGGCTGGCGACTGGCCCAGCGACAGCACGCGGCGGGCCAGATGCCTCTGCATCGCCATGGAGATCATATTTTGGATATGCACGATCCCTGTGCCCAGCTTCCGCACTCTCACAGGGAAGCCTGGGTCAGTCTGGCAATACCACTGCTTCTTCTTGGCCAGGGCAGGCTCAACGGTCAAGGATGCTCCCTCCACCAGGTGTTCCGAGGCTCTCGCTTTAGCCACAGCCGCGGGCTCTGCAAACTTTATGTACAAATACCCTCTGCACCGCTTCACGACGGCTGCAGGCCCAAACCTGGACGTCCATGGTTCTAGACCGAAAAAGAAACTGCTCAAAGCCAGCAACAGACCGACCGAGATGCGATGATCAGGGAAGCGGCAGAAAGCTTACAATCAGCCGAAAAGAACAGCACGACTTCCATCGAACTGCATCGTAACTAAAGTCGCAGAAGCTGGAGGAGCATAAAACACCATGGCAAAGAGCCGACTGGATGGAAACACAAAACATCTGAAGCAATTCCAGATTAGATTAGACACAGAACAAAATTGGAAGCATGGGTGGGAAAAGCAACAATATGCAGGGATGAGAAACTCATGATTCAATTCGCACACGTGGAGGAGCTCAGACGAAGCAAAGAGAGATGTGGAGGACTGGTCTGAGAGAGAGAGAGAGAGAGAGAGAGAGAGAGAGAAGAGAGAGAGAGAGAGACAGAGAGAGAGAGAGAGAGAGCGAGCGAAAGTTTGCGTGTGTGTTTTTTGTTTTTCTGCTTGCAGTGCTTATTTGGGGCCGGGATGCTGCTCCATGTGCCGCAGAATGGTTTCCGACGACATTGCCGGTGGCACGCCGCCTCCCCAGCTAAGCTGGACCATCTGCTCAAATATGGGATGAGAACTCAACTCTTCTTCTCAAGCTTCTCCGCAGGCCTACGAAGAGGACTTTAGCTCCCTCTGCTGGACGACGGGTGCGCCTCAAGACTCAGTCGACTCAGTCAACTGTGCTGAACGCCCAGCCAATTTGCTAAGACCAGCACCTGGCCAGTAGAGGACGATGGCGTGGCCACAACGCAAGCACCAGAGAGCCAAGCGAGCGACCTCCACAAATTCTCACGAGTCTTCGAGTCTTGATGAGCTGGTCCACATCGGAGCGGCCTGCATATGCAGGTGGCCCTCGCTGTGGGTGTGGACGGAGTAGCTTTGCCTGCTTGCAAATGCCCTCAAAGTGCACATGAGAGGCTGTAGGCTGTAGGATGATGAGCCTCCTTCCTCGGCTCAGCGACTGCGCTTCTACAGCACAAGGTCCCCACGAAGGTCAGCATTGTTTCCTGCTCTGGCGTAGCCTTCTGTCTTGCATCGTGGCCGCCCAGCTTCAGCTTCTTCGGAGCAAAGCCAAATGGCTGCACAAGTCGATCCCTTGCCGTCCGGCTTCAAGCATGCACGCATATGACCTGGGATTTCAGAGGGACAGAGTTTAGAGTCTAGAGGCCATTTTGCGTGCCAGACAGCCCTCAGCGACGCTACCTGGCAATATCAGAATTTGTGGTGATGACGTCACAGCTATGCAGAAAACGGGGCGTAAAGCCAGGCCTTCAATTCAAAGCCCGTTAAAAGTGCCCTGGTGCCGACTCTATGTACATTACGCAACCGTTGCAGTTTGGCCTCTGGACCTGCTTCGTGCTTCACAGTATGTCCTGCGACCCGTGATCATGCTTCAAGAGAATCAACTGTATCGATCCACGCGTGCCAGCCATCACCTGCTTCAGCGGGATATCCGACTCGTCCTCACCGAAAGGATGTTCCATCTGACGGCTCACAAACTCGATTCCCAGCAAGCTGAAGCTCAAAGCTATCTGCATTAGCATTAGGCCTACCGGTCCCACAGAGCCGATGATCGTGAAAGGAAAACTGACGCAGAAAACCAGGAGAAGGGTTCGCAGGTGCACCATGAACGGTGCCGGCGACTGCTGCTGCAGCACCATTTGGCAGAACCGAAAGGCCGTAAGCATGGCAGTGGCGCGCTCGTACATGCCGCTGGCAAGCTCTGCAGAGTAGGCCCCGAGCATCTGTCCCCGATGGATGGTGCTGAAGATGGAATCGAAGCACCAAAGCACAGGGTGTGCCGCCCGGGCGATTGCTGCCGCGTCCTCAGCATTCAGGTGGGCATCCATGGGCTCCCAAACGTGGGAATCGTTCGCCGGGTGAGGCGGCTTGCCCTTGGAAAGCTTGAATTCCACGCTGGCACAGGCGGCATCCAGCAACCCAAGGAGTCGGCGCTCGTTCTCCTCGATTTCTCCTTTCAGCTTCCCCGTCAAGGAAAGCTGCATTGAATCCTGGTTGTTTGCCGCAGACATGGCGATGGCCACCGCGTTGATGCTTACATCCTGGGTCCACACTCGAGATTGGAACACTCATGCATGCCGAGGCCAGACCCAGACAACACAGAGCTATCCGTCCTGGACATGCTGCCTTGACTGCCACCAACGGTCATAGGAGAGCTGGAACCGGAAGGCCAGAAGGATGGACAGAGGCAAAGCTACGAGCTCATGGACGTTGGCCGGAACCCGGAAGAGGGCGACTTGACACGGATACCTCAGCGAGCGAGCCAACAAAACTCCACATACTTCTCGTCTCTTCCTGATTATAGACCTGCAAAGAGCAAACCTCCCCAGCGACCGCAGCTGCCCGCGGCTTCCTGAGACAAGTATAAGTAAAAAACGAAAGCGAAAGCGTAAGATTCTTGCCAAGTCCACATCCTGGTGATGGTGACCGCTACCAGCCCCGATCCAATGCAGGGGATTAGAGGAGCGAACTCGATGGCTCTTTGCGCATCCAAGGCAAGGGGCCCGCGCCGACTCGCCCAAATCGCTTCATCTTCGCGGCCTGCCTTTTCAGCAGCTTTGGAGAAAGCCACGGCCAGGAAAACGGAGCCACCCAGACCAACACCAATCAGGGATTGGGCGCGACGCAGTTTCGGGACCTTCTTCAAGGCCCGTGTGCCACTGCGGGCACTAGCGAAGAAGCGCTCTGCAGAAACATGCCAGAACCCTGCCGCCGGAACACGCTGCCGACGCAATACTCTCAGAGGAGACTGGCCAATCCGAAGCCAGGTGCCATAAGGCATGAGAAAGCTACAGGAAAGGCTCGAAATGCTCAAGTGGGGTGATGTTGAGTTGGTGATGTACCCAGGGAGGATTGCAAAGCAACGTTGGTGTCTTCCGTGCATTCATGCCACATGGAAAGGCAAAACGCTCAACATCGCTCAACGGCATTCATATCACAGGCAGGGTCAGAAGGCTGAGCAATTTGAGAGCGGAAGTGCAAAGACGAGCGGAAAGACAAGAAAACTCTGCTTTGTGGCTCACCAGCAAGTGGTGCATCATCTCGCTTGACGCTGGCATGGACACGGAACATCTTCGTTCTGTGTCCAAGCCAGCGGTGCACGCAGCTTCTCAACAGCCCGCGAGAATCGCTTCTCTCTGAAAGCCGTTCTGCGCAGTTGCAAAGCTCAGTCCTCCAGTCCTCCACAATTTAGGTGAACGGTCGCTGCCGGGAATACAAACAGTATCCCAGTCTTGCCTTGTTGCTCTGGGCCTCCAAATGGAGCTGGCTTTGGCCGAGGCCTGGATGTTGACCTTCACGATCTCCGTGGTCAAAACCGGTCTGCTCCCACGGTTCCAGGAAGAATCCAAGGGGATCTAGAGCTCCTTGCCTGCAAGGAGGGCTTCGCTATTGCCCCGCAGGCACCGCAGCTTGCATCCAAGTGTAGTAGCTCCTCAGCAATTCTAACAAAGCCGGGTTCAACTGAGATCTGAAAAAGGCTGATTCAGTCACATTCGCCAAGAAATGTGAATATTGTGCATCTTCTGAGGGCAGCCATGTCATGCAAGATACCGTAATAACTTGCAGACTGGCAAAGCGCTACACTGTCTCATTCAGCGCATGTTAGACTCTAACTTTCCGTCTCTAAACTAAAAAAGACCCTATAAAAGGCTTGTTTCCAATGTCTAAACTAACTTGCGCCTACCCGGGACTCCGAAAGTTTGTTTGTCGGCGTCTAGACTAAATATACCCTATAAAAGGTTTGCTGTCCATGTCTAAACTAACTTGCGCCTACCCGGGACTCCGAAAGTGTTTTCTGTGTCTAAACTAAACCCTATAAAAGCTTTGTTTTCCACGTCTAAACTAACTTGCGCCTACCCGGGACTCCGAAAGTTTGTTTTTCTGTGTCTAAACTAACGAAACCCTATCGAAGGTTTGGTACTTTTTTCTATGTCTAAACTAGATAAACACCATAGAAGGTTTGTTTTCCATGTATAAACTAACTTGCGCCTACCCGGGACTCCGAAAGTTTGTTTTTCTGTGTCTAAACTAACGAAACCCTATCGAAGGTTTGGTACTTTTTTCTATGTCTAAACTAGATAAACACCATAGAAGGTTTGTTTTCCATGTATAAACTAACTTGCGCCTACCCGGGACTCCGAAAGTTTGTTTTTCTGTGTCTAAACTAACGAAACCCTATCGAAGGTTTGGTACTTTTTTCTATGTCTAAACTAGATAAACACCATAAAAGGTTTGTTTTCCATGTATAAACTAACTTGCGCCTACCCGGGACTCCGAAAGTTTGTTTTTCTGTGTCTAAACTAACTAAATCCTACAAAAGGTTTGCTTCCATGTCTAAACTAACTTGCCGAAAGTTTGTTTTTCTGTGTTTAAACTAACTAAACCCTATAGAAGGTTTGTTTTCCAAGTCTAAACTAACATGCGTCTGCCCTATTTGCACAGCCGGAAGACCCCAGCGTCATGGATCCACCATGGTTTCTGCGCCTTTGCTTCTCTGCCTGGGAGCTGGGGCACAGCAAAGGTCTCCCACTCCAAATCCAAACCGGCACAGGGCTTCAATTAGGGTTTAAGGTTTAGGGCTTCAATTAGGGGCCTTGCCTCAGCCAGAGTAACCTGATAAGGGCGCAAGCAAAACGGGGTAACCAGGCGAGCTGTCAGGAAGTATAGTCCCCTGCCCACTGCCCCTTACCCTGTTCAGGCTCCTTACGATGAATCATTAGAACAGAGTCTGGGGTATGATCTAGTATAGTATACAGTATACATGTATCATATACTAGACTTTTCTAGACTGTACTATACTACCTGTGTACGATACTTGCATGCTGCCATTTTCGTACAGGTAAAATCGTGTATAGCCTGATCTTCTAGGGGCGATTGAGATTTGGGAACTAGGCCTGCTGCGGCGTCCCGGCTTTGGCTGCCGCCGCCCAGAAGGAGCCGGCAACAACGCGGAAGTCCAGGCCTAGGGCCAAGGATCGTAACGATGTCGCTAAAGTTTAAGCCCCTTTCGCTGTCGCAGTCTGTGAAAGCGCATGAAACACATGAGGACACCGAACATGCATTTTCTGCACTGGCCAGTGACATCCCGAGGCATCTGCTCACGCGAGTGGTTGTGCTGGTGTTGGCCTCCGTGTAGTGCTCACACAGATTTCCCCACCAACCTTGCGAGCATGTCAAGGCAAGATACCGGGATGTTGTGATAGGCGGGCAGCAACTTGAGCATTCTGAAACACTTTAACCGTCAGCGAAGCTGGCTGCATCCCTGTGGCGGAATATGTCGCCCTCTTCACCTTCGATGGCGTGAAAATCTGCGCGTCCGGGGAAACTTTCCACATGCAGGCTGCTGCATCCACTCACACTGGTCAAGGGCAACCTGGGCATCATTGCTTGGAGTTGTGGGCGAGAGTACAAATGAGCATCATGCTTCTTCTCTGCAACCATAGCATGATGACAATCCCAATCTCTGATCATGATTCTCATCTCCTGATCCATCCGAGTATCCAGAAGTTGAGTTCCTCAGGAATGTGCCCGTAGTCTGCATCCTTGAAACAGAAATCACATCGCAGCATTCCCACAAGTGCAGCGCAGGACCAGAACACGCAAGAAGCAAACAAACTAAGTTCCGTATTGAATTTTGGCTTGACCTTCCAGAACAAGCGACGAAACGAGAGCCAGTCGTTTCGAGACTCTGATGAGACCAAGGCACGCGATGTCGCTTCGTGGCTGCATGCTGCGACGGGAGCACCACTCGCAGCACCGGCTCAGTCTGCCACGGCCAACTAGACAGACAGATAGATGGAGATACCAACTCGGTTGAAAAATATAGATTGGGTTACATCGGATTTGGATGAGATTGGAGTTGATTAGACTTAGGTGAGATTGCATTAGATTGCATTAGACAGTCCAGACACATGAGACGTGGTACATGGATTGATAGACTAACTTGACTAAACATCAGATGGAGACGCTACATGGATAGACAGATAGATAGATAGATAGAGATAGATGCGTAGGTACATGGATAGATAGGTAGATGATCGTTAGATCATGTATGCGTAAACAACACGCAGCTCAGAGAACAAGCGGTCGTGTCATCTGGGGTGCCCCGAGACTACTTTGTCTCTGCCGCACGGCACCTGGACCGCCGCTGCGAAGCCCTGGACAGGTTCGCCTCGCGCATGGACGCGTGGACTTCTGGACTCTGTTCGAGTTGTCTCAAAAGATTCCAAAGACCGAACCGAGTTTGACGAAACCAGCGAAGCCCTCAAGAACGAAGCTCATTCATCCACAAGCCTCACCTGCAGCTGCTGCGAGTCCGGGCAGCACTTCCTGCACAACAAAGCGCCTCAGTTCAGCAACGCAAGAACGATGGGAAGTTCGGTCCCGTTCAGCGCTTTGTATTACTTTGTATCATGCCCCGGGGGCAACCTCAAGCACCTGCTGAGCATGCCGGAACTATTGAAGGCAACACGGAGCCCAGATCTACTCATGCCAATGAGGCCTTAGGTCAGGTCATGCAACTCATTTCTCTTTGGAGGACTGCGCAGCCGCTTCGACTAGTGACTAGTTGTGGAAGCAGTCACAGAGCCTGCAACCTGAAGGAAAACAACCCGGCTTGAAGAGCGAACCCAGACAGGGACTCCCGGAACTAGGCGGTGCCCAAAAGGAGAGGCTCCAGCAGTTTCAGCCACCGGCCTGTAGAGCTCCTGCAACCTCGCATGGGCACCATTATTTCGCCAGCGTTGTCGGCAGTGGTTCTTGTTCGCCGCCTTCCCGGCACCGTGCAGCCCTGCCAGCGTCATGCCTTGGAGACTCGCAATTCGCGGATTCACGAAAGCCCAAAGCCCAACGTAGCACAACTTCAGCAGGGAGGCCCAGTTGGAGCGGGGGGCAAGGCTGGAAGTCCTCCGATCGCGGCACCTGAGAAACAAGCGGCCCGGCGTCGGCCCGGCGTTTCCCGTTCTGACATGCTCCGAGCGCCTCGTGGACCTGCTCCAGGTCTTCTTTCGGGCACTCCAGGAGCTCGGCCACGAGGGAGCGGAAGTCGAAACTTCTTGGAACACCTTAGCTCCCAGAAAAACTCCCTTCCCATAAAAGCTCCGGGGTCTCGCGATAGCACAGGAGAGGCGAGGCTCTGAGTTTCTGCATGCACATGTAGAGCGGTCGCCACTGGCAAGGGAAGCTCTCGAGTAAAGCCTGCCCATCCACCGGGCTTTCGGTCGCCAACAGCATCCGGGCTTCTGCAGTTGCCACATCTTCGCTGCTTACCTCCGGCAGCACCGGGCTGTCCTTGCATTTTCGGACCTCCTCCGAATCCTCAGCTTCACGAAATCCCGAGACCTGGCCTGTCTCAACATGTCTCCTTCAAGGCCCAGCAGCCACCCAAGAGCTGAGGCCCTCTTCCAGCTCGCCACGGCCCTGCTGCTCAAAGAAGGACTGGAGGAATGAAGCTTCGTGGCCTCAGAGCTGAGGCTTTGCGACGTTCGGGCCTGGAGTTGTCCAAGAAATGTCTTCCGGACTGAGTCTTGAGCGAACCGGATCGCGAATGCCATCACCGAAGGCATCGCAGTAGTAGTGCCACACGCTGCGTCCGTACACACTCGCCTCCATCGCTTGCAGAGGGAAGTGGGACATGAGGGCCGTCTTGGGCAATACATGAAGACGAAACGAGCAGCTGGCTGCAAGTGCAGCAGCTTGGTGGAAACTGATATGCTTACGCAGAAGAAAAACGGGACAACGACGAGCAGGCTCATCGGTCCTACTCCACAGTTTCCGCATGTG